AGACTGGCTCCCACTGGTCCACCATCTGACCATCTGGCAGTTCATCGGTGACAAGTATCTTATTCCCATATCTGCAAGGCAAATGGTCAAATACACCCAAAGCAAAAAACAATGATACAAACAAAGTTAGATCATTCAAAGGACCTAGTGGTTACCTCGACGCCTCCATGAGAATATCTTCTTTTAACCGGGCTTCCATTTGCTCTACCCTTACCCTGTTGATTCCCTGATCAGAAACATAAGCTTAAGGTCACAAATGAAAGGTTCCATGGATAATCAAGTTTCTGATTAACTTTAATAGTGGAGATCCACCCAACAAACTAATGTACAAGAAGGCTATATTAATGTACAACAAAAGTGTTTCCGAATGGAATTGACCGCATATTAGGAAAAGGCTTTTGTACCGTGTACTCAAGATTAGTGAAAGGTTTCTCCACATCACGTAGAACAAAAGGTCGCCCGTTTATGTATACTACCTGCCAAATGTGTAGTAAATGCCAAGTTAACAAGAAAGAATGTCGAAGCAACAGTAAATGGCACATGCCTATGATTTGGATATTGGCAGAAGTTCAAGAAAATGGATTTACCGGTTCCTCCCTGAGACTAATCCAAAGAACTTTTGCTTGTTTCCCGTCCTTGTGAGCTCCAATGTGCCTAAGAACGTTTCGTATCCCAACAGCAGTTGGAATTGCAACCCCATGTACACGTAATGAATCAGCCTGTAACAAAGACCACAAAACCAAGAGCAGATAACAAAATGAGAACACATTAAATCTCAAAATGAGAGCTTCAATAGATAATTAGTACTCGGGGTTTATAAGGAATCTGCATTTTGGAACACACAAGATCAAGTTCTAGAGATATAACGAGTGCAGTACATAAAACCTAGATTCTAGCTGAAATCAAATAAAATTCCTACACATAGGATTCGTTTCTGTGATCCGATTTCCATGTCATTCACAGATTCAGCTCACTTGATAGTCAAATTTCACATAACAAAGTAAAAACCAAAATCGGAGAATGGGAGAGAGACCTGACGGTAATTGGGAGCGCCTTCGATCTGAGGAGTCATACGCTTATTTTGACAACCTGGAAAATGGTCACTCTTGAGAATCGTCTTCTTACCAAGTACCGATCCATCTCTCAGTTTCATCACCTGCTCTGGCTCCTTCGGTATCGACATATCTCATCCAACAAAAAACCCCACACACCACCGAGAAACTTCAAAAACTTGCAGATTCGATTCAAAAAAAACGATATCGACTCCGAAAAACCTCTCGACTCTTCTTCTTCTTCACTCTATAAACTGTTCTTCGAATCCCGGAAAAACGACAAAAATCGTGCGCCAATGCGGGACGAAGAAACGCTGGAATATTCGTGATTCGCAGACAAAATCCAGAAAATATCTCGCGCGAGAAAAGGAAAATCGAAGTTTGAGAATTGAGAGAGAGAGATGAAGAAAATGGATAAGGTCGCGGAACAAACAAAAACGCGGAGGATAATTCCAACAAACTTATTTTGAGCGGAGAGATTTAAGAGAGATGAGCTCACACGCTAATCTATTTCTTTAACTCTTGATTACCTTCGACGGATATTTATAAGATCTGATTAAATTGTTGATAAAACAGAATTAATACTACAATTTTTAGGAAAGGTTATTTAAAAAAATAGCATAACGAGAAAGTTATCTAGAAGCCTAGAGTAGAGGGTTTTGTTTTAAAATAAGCAAGTAGAAATCAGAATATATGAAAGCTTATAACAAAACCCTCTAGCCTTATTATACTAACCTCAGGATATATGAAAAACCTTATCTTTTAAGATTACCTTTAATTAAAATCGTTTGAACATTATTAATTTATGGCTTTTCGTTAATCTTTTAAACATATCACCATAAGTTAATTATCTATATGTGTTAAATAAATAAAGGTAAGAATTTAATTATCTATATTGTGATTCATCTTTTAAGTTTTAACATATGATTTTCTTAGAAAAGTTTGATCTTCTTAGATTCAATTTAGCCGGATTCAACACGTTTAAAAGCTTCAATTTAAGCCAACCATAAGAGATAAGAAATTTGTTTACTTGTAATTGGTAATAAGTTAACTTTTCCGTTTTTTTTTTTTTGGGACAAAAAGTTAACTTTTACGTTATAAGTTATAACAAAAAAATATATTAATAATGTAAACTTTTTAAAAACCATTAAATAATAATAAAGTAGCCTCCTCCTAAGAAGAAGAATAATAAGAGAGGAAACAAAATTTCGATTGGTCAGTAAATGAGTTGTGGGTCTTGCGTCACACAAAAACGTGAAAGGCGTGTCTTTTTCTTTGATTTTTTAGTAATTTATTAAAGATTTTGTCTGATCATTTTCCAATCCTGCAAATATATTTATTTTCTGTAAAGTGGATATTCATGAGATTAACATTTAATTTCAAGAAACCATTTAATATTTTTATTTTATGATAAAATAATAAAATCATATATAATGTAATTTGAGATTCGAATCCTTGTTATCTCTAATCTAATTTTGAACGTTTATTATGTTAGTATAGTCATGTGTCCATAAAAATGAGCAAGATTTTGCATTGAAATGTTTTTTTAGACACTTTGAAACCAAAATGTATTTGAATACAGTTTAATTATGGGGCTTTTGCAAAAATGCCACTTTTTCAATGCCACTTTTCAAAAATACCCCCTTTTTAAAACCTTATAAAAAATACTCTTAAAAAAATAAGATTTACCCAAATATGTATGTAAAATATGTATGTAATATTATTAAAACATACACAAACTACATTTCTATGTATCTAAAATCTTATAAATATTTTATAAATACCTTATAAATGCATTTTAAATACCTTTAAAAACCTTTAAAATATCTTGTAAAACCTTTGAAAAACCTTAAAAATCCTTTAAAATAACTTGTAAAACTTTCAAAAACATCTTATAAAACTTTATAAATACTTGGATCGAGTCTTCAAGTAGTAGTTACAATTCATAAGTACCTTATAGACCTAGTAAAACTTTATAAAAATTTCAGATTTAAAAATGGACATTTTTTAAAATGAACATCTAAAAAGGACATTTTTGAAAAGGGGCACACCAAAAAATATATTTTTAACAATTTTCCTTTAATTATTGTCAATTTGTCATGCTCATTTTACTGTTTTCTTTAACTACTGTTTGTTTTCTCTTGTATAACATCACTTTAATTATTATTATTATTTTCGTAACATCACCACTTTAATTCGATTGTTGATAAATTTATGTGAATTTCAAAAATCACGAACTTTTATAAATCAATATCCATAAATAGTATATATCATAAAAACATAAAAATATCTTTCAACGTCTATCTAACAACAGAAACAAACTTCAAGTAATACTGATTAGGATCCCTTCGAAGATAGAAGATGACTAACCAATACTAGCTGATAGGTCATTGAAAATGAATTTTGCAAATGTAACACCAGCTCGTGGTGCCATTCAAAACCTATGGATTCATAAGGCCGAGTCAAAATATATACAAAAGAAGAATATACAAATGCGAAGACATGTAAGTAATATTTTATAGATTTAATGAGTACATAACTGCTATCATTCGTAACTAATATTCATGCTCAAATATAATTGACCACCTACGCTAAATCCATTGATATTGACTATGTAAAGTGGCAGGTCACACATATTCTTTAATATATGCTTAATATTATTAGTCACCGTATAAGAAACTAAAAATGATTGGTAAACGGCTAGTTTAACGCGTCGTCGTGAGTTAAACATGTCAGATTCTTCGATTGTTCTTTTATTTTTTATTATGGGCTCCCACTTGTTATATATATATATATTTTTTTTTCACTTGTTATATACTTATATGACATTTTTACGACTTTACAAATTCTTAATTATTTGAAATACTATAAACAAAGACACACGCATTAAACACGGTCTACGGAAATGGTTTTCTTACTCTTTGGTCATTTATCAAAATAGTTAACAACAACTACAATTGTCAAATGACAACGGACAACCCAAGAAAGAAAAATTATCGTACCGGTGTGTGTGTGTTTTTTGTTTTTTTTCTTATATTTTATTTAAACTTAAATTATATTAATAAACCCCTTTATTATTTGTAACTTCCTTTTTTTCTTTTTATTTGTGAACATACAACTTCCTTTATTATTTATGCAGTCCTATCTTTTAATAATATTGGAACATGTCAACAACTCAAGTGTATGACACATACCATGTTTAAATAATTGTAACCTATCAAGTCACATCAAACTGATTGATGTTTTATTTTCAAATGCGATTCTCGTGGACTTCAATATCTGGTTCACAAGCTTATTGTAGTTGTCTTCTTTTATATGTGTAGTCAGTCATTAACAAATGTTTTTCTATTTAGCTTTAATGTCAATCTAGTCATGTAGATCATTACCAAACCTGTAATCAAATGAGCGACCGAGTAATCAGGAGTACGTATTATTTAAATCGTTGTCTTATATATGAACTTGTTAAATTATCGATTTATTTTATATCCAACGATTTGGAAGATCTCTCAACCACATGTATCTACTCTCTCACGACAAATGAAAATATTCTATTCAAAGAAGCAATTTGTCATAAAAGTATCAGTTAGCAAAGGGAAGGATATATGAATTTAATTTAGTTTAAGTAGTAATTTATTTGTTTTAGTCACCACAATTTTGTCATTATATGTTCTACAAATTAATTATGAGTTTTGATATCGTAATATTCTTTTATATAAAACATATCATTCGATGGAGGTTTTGTTATCTAATTGATTAGTACTTTTAATGTCTCAAAATCAACATCAAAATTTAAATTGGAGAAGAAATCGAGGTTGTTTTTGTAATATTTCTAAAATACAAGAGTTATTTGATTAAAAACAATAGTTCACGCTCTACCTGTGTGAGATTTTAAATACTAAGGGGTTTATATGCAATTTTATATAAATTTAATAACTAGCAAATTATTTTGACCCGACCCGGTTGATTGGAGATAGATTTCGCGTTATCGTCTACTTTTCCGGTCAGTTTTGGGGTGGGGGAAGCATAAGATGTCGACCGGTTTAGCTCTGAATCGCTGTTCGATTTCGGTATGTAGAACGGCCGGTACTTTACTTAACCGGCCAACGGTCTCCGTAGTCAGGAGTTTGAAATTCAGTCACCGGCTAATCGGGAATTGCTCGATAGCGCCGGCGGATCCTGTTGTTGTGGCGGAAGACGTAAAGTACGGTAACAAAGAGGTTATCAGTCTCACTCCTCGCCTTTACGACTATGTCCTCTCCAACGTTCGCGAGCCTAAGGTGTGTAACTCTCTTCCTCTGCTTTGGTTTTCGTTTTCCATTTTGTCAGACTTATAGAGACTTTTACTTGTGGTTTGGTGTCTTGCTTAGATTTTGAGGCAACTTCGGGAAGAGACTTCCAAAATGCGTGGTAGTCAAATGCAGGTAACAGTTTCACTGCATTTGGGTTCTTTCACTGGTTTCAGCTTGTTGATGAGCTCTGGTTTATGCTAATTGTTTCTGTTCTTGTTACTACCAAGCTAACTTTCTAGTATTACCTTTGATTTTGGCTGTAGGTGTCGCCTGATCAAGCGCAATTGCTTGCAATGCTTGTACAGCTGCTTGGAGCAGAAAGATGTATTGAAGTTGGAGTTTACACGGTCTTTACGCTTCTTCCTATTGAGTTTCTTGAGCATTGATATGTTGGCTTCGATTTCGTTTCTTATGAAAATGATGACGAGCTTGTGTTTTTGACAGGGATATTCATCATTGGCTGTGGCCTTAGTTCTACCAGAATCAGGGTGTCTAGTTGCCTGTGAAAGAGATTCTAACTCTCTTGAAGTCGCTAAGAGGTACTACAAGCTCGCTGGAGTCTCTCACAAGGTGAGCCCGAAAAATATCCCATTCCAAATCAATGCTTTTCTATGGCACAAAAGATTTAGTGTTTTATACTTTTTTTGTTTGCGATTTCGTGACATCTTTAAAATCAATGATATTATGCTTGTAAAATGGTTCCTCAGCATATATTTGGCCTCTTGGAAACCCTTATAACATTTTGTTTTGCTCTCTTGTCGATTCAGTATCGATAGATTCATTACAAACAATTGTATGATTCTTTGATTTGTTTACTCTAGTCAGGTTAATGTGAAACATGGTCTTGCAGCTGAATCATTGAAATCCATGATTCAGAACGGTGAAGGATCCAGGTAAGTACGTAAGCTTCTTTCATTATGTTGAGTGAGGGTGGCTCTTGCCTAAATTTCAGCTTTTATTACTTGCAGCTATGATTTTGCATTTGTCGATGCTGATAAGAGGATGTATCAGGACTACTTCGAATTGCTTCTTCAACTTGTAAGATAAATAATGCTAGTCTCTTTCCATAGTTGGCCAAGTTAGCTTTAGCAGATATCTCTGTTGACGCAGGTCAGAGTTGGTGGAGTCATTGTGATGGATAATGTTCTTTGGCATGGACGAGTTACGGATCCTCTGGTATGCATCTTACACAAACAAAATCATCCTCTAATAAAGCTTCTCGAATGAGAAGAAAGACCATAATTTCATATCGATTAATTCAACAGGTGAATGATGCGAAGACGATCAGCATTAGGAATTTCAACAAAAAGTTAATGGATGATAAACGTGTAAGCATTAGTATGGTGAGTTTGTAATGGTTTCTATCACTTTGTGCTCCCAAGTCCACAACACAACGAACTCTACCAAACTCTCGCTTGAGTTTTTCACATTTCTTTGCGCATCAGGTACCAATCGGCGATGGCATGACGATATGCCGCAAGAGATAATCATCAGGAAAAACCACTTGGGTCACAATGAACCTGATCCAAGAAAGAAGTCTTTTAACCATGAAAGGAAAAACCACTTGGGTCACAATGAACCTGATCCAAGAAAGAAGTCTTTTAACCACTTGGGAGGCTAAGCAGTAAGGCATGCACTTTGTCAAATTGTTTTGCTCTTTCCGATTAGTGGAAAATAGAATTTTGATTAGGCTTTTGTTGTCATCAACCTCAAAGGGGGTTCCTGTCCCAAAATTTAAATAGAACATATTTTTTTCTTTCTATTTTCGAGCTGAACAAAAGGAAAAATATATATAATTTTCGTTTATGCACATAAGACTTTTCAAAAGCAACCGCCAATTATTTAAAAATATATGTATTTTTTTGTAAATAAGACTTTTCAAAAGCAACCGCCAATTATTTAAAAATCAGATTCTCTAAGCATAAAGCCAAATGTTCTCAATAATTGCTTGAAAAAATTTATAATCCCAATGTCATCAACAAATCGACAATTTCAGGCGATGCCTTCGTTCTCACTGAGCTTTCCTTTCCTTTTGTTGGTTTTCTGCTTTATCGGCTTACTAGCTGCGGATGATCTCCCACATAAATCCGGCGGTGACGTCTGCTCCGGGGGTTCTGATCGTAGAACTCCCGATATTCGACTTAACCGACCGACGTCCTCCGTCGTCGGAAACTGCCCCGCGGAGCCGAGTCCTTTAGTTATGGCTGACGACGAGAAGTACGGTAACAAAATGGTTATCAGTCTCACTCCTCGCCTTTACGACTATGTCCTCAACAACGTTCGCGAGCATGAGGTGTTTAACTCTTTCCTCTGCTTTGGTTTCTTCGTCTTCCACTTAATCAGATCTACTGTGATTTTACTAGTGACTTGATTTATGTTTTAGGTTTTGAGGCAACTTCGAGAAGAGACTGCTATTAGTCAAATTCAGGTAATAATTCCCACCTATAGATTAGGGTTCTTTCACTGTTTTCAGCTTCTTGATGAGCTCTGGTTTATGCTAGTTCTTGTCACTACCAAGTCTAACTTTATGGGAAATTAAATTTAATTTTGGTTGTAGGTGTCGCCTGATCAAGCGCAATTGCTTGCGATGCTTGTGGAGATTCTTGGAGCAGAAAGATGTATTGAAGTTGGAGTTTACACGGTGTTTAATCTTTTTTCCTTTTTAAGTTTCCTAGCATTGTTACATATGTTGGCTTCGATTTCGTTACTTATGACGATGATAACAAGCTCGTGGTTTTGACAGGGATATTCATCATTGGCTGTGGCGTTGGTTCTACCAGAATCAGGGCGTCTTGTTGCTTGTGATAAAGATGCTAACGCTCTTGAAGTTGCTAAGAGGTACTATGAGCTTGCCGGAGTGTCTCACAAGGTGAGACTGTAAGATATATCTTATTCAGTTATTGCTAAGAGGTTAGGACTACTAATAGCTGTTTTGTGACTCAAGTCTTGGCCATTGGTCTCCTATATACTGATACCTCACTTGTAAAATGGTGTCTCAATGAAATGATCTCATTACGAGCAACTGGTTGATTCTTCAATTTGTTTACTCCACTCAGGTCACTGTGAAGCATGGTCTTGCAGCAGAATCTTTGATGTCTATGATTCAGAACGGTGAAGAGTCCAGGTAAATACAGTTAGCCTCTTTCGCATAATTGCTGATGGTAGCTCTATGTGAAATGATTGACTCATTTAAGCTTTTCTTATTTGCAGCTATGATTTTGCATTTCTCGATGCTGATAAGGCTATGTATCAGGAGTACTTCGAATCGCTACTTCGACTCGTAAGACCAAGATCAGAATAATGCTAGTCTTCTTTCCATTAGGGTCAAAATAGCTTTAGCTGTTATCTTTACTGTCTCAGGTCAGGGTTGGTGGAGTCATTGTGATTGATAATGTTCTTTGGCATGGATGGGTTGCGGATTCTATGGTATGTATCTTTCAACAACCATGCTCTAAAAAGCTTATCGAATGACCATAATTTCATATCGATAAATTCAACAGGTAAATGATGAGAGGACCATCAGCCTTAGAAATTTCAACAAAAAATTAATGGATGATCAACGTGTAAGCATTAGTATGGTGAGTTTTTTTTTTGGATTCTATCACTCCCTGCTCCTAAACACAAAAGGCTCTTCCAAGCTCATGCTTGATTTTTTCCACCTTTCTTTTGTTCATCAGGTATCAATCGGCGATGGTATGACCATATGCCGCAAGAGGTAATCATCCCTAAAAACCACACAGCTCGCAGTGGACCTGATCCAAGAGAGAAGTCTTCAAACATTAAAGGATTGATGAAGCCAAGATATATTATTTCAGGAGAAGGAAACAGTTCCTTTGTCCTGACTCTTATCTATTCTCACAAACACAAAAGACTTATCAACTTTCCCTTTTCAGTCAAAATAAATTGAAGAATTGATAAGATAAACCAATTTGTGGGCTTATTGGGCCTTGATATGTACTGTTTTCTATGTCCGTTTCAGGCCTTTTATAAAATCTTTTGACGACCCAAAAAAAAAAATTATAAACCAAAAAACCAGCAAACGGAGGTTGCTGAACAGGCATCAATACGACGCCGTAGAAATACACGACATGACGTTTGATGGGTTAAGTAAGAAACGACATGACGTTTGATGGTTTATATACAAAACTGCGCGTAGTTTCTGTGATTTGCTTTACTCGGTGCGCGTACCAGCTGTACCACCAATTCAAACAACACGGTTACGTAAACTCTCTCTCTCTGAGAAAATCCCCAAATCTCATGAAATTAGGGTTTCAATCATTCGTAACACTTTGAACGCAAAATTAGAAACCTCCTCTCCATTCGCCACGAATCTCTAAGGTTCTTCTGAAGGATTAGATTTCTGGGTTTAAGAAATCTCTCTCTCTCGTCATCAACAATTCTCGCGATGCCGTCGTTAACACTGAGCATTCCTTTCCTTTTCTTAGTTCTCTGCTTGATCGGTTTACAAGCTGCGGATGATTTCCTTGATAATTCCGGCGGCGACGTCTGCCCTCGGGTTTCGGACTCGGGTGGATGCCCAATCAACTGTTTCCGAGCGGATCCGGTTTGCGGAGCCGATGGAGTCACGTACTGGTGTGGTTGTCCCGACGCAGCTTGCCATGGTGCTCGTGTAGTCAAAAGAGGAGCTTGTGACACAGGTAATGCAGGAAGTGCTTCTGTTCCTGGCCAAGCTTTGTTATTGATTCACATTGTTTGGCTCTTCTTGCTTGGACTCTCTCTTCTCGTTGGTGTTTTCTAATCTCTCGAGTGTTGATGGCGGAATTAGAGGAGCAATTGATTGATTCCATTATCGTTTGTAGCTTTTAGTCATATTTTACAGAGCACACATTTGCTTTGTGATATATAGATCACACGTCCTGTGTTTGTTATATGTAGAGCTGAGTATTGTTTTGCTATGTGTGCTATACATATGTAATAGATTCTGTTGCAATACATTATATAAAGATTTGATCAGACACATACTTAATATTGATCATGTATATTGGATCTATATACTTCACATCTGCCGAGATACCGATTTCTTTAAAATATTTCTTCGTCTGTATACAAAATATCGAGTGGTCATTTTTTCTGGTTTCATCCCCTCTTGACTGAAGTAATTCACAATTCACAAACCAAACCTCTTGTTGAATGTGCACACGGATATCACTGAGTACTTTGTTTCCAGATGCAAACTCTGCAACAAAAGAAGAAAAAAGAAAGGAGGGGAATGTTAAAGTTCTCTTTCATATAGAAAATTTGATCAAATTTCGAGTTTTTACCTGTCCGGCCTCTTCTGCGACTCAGATAACAGCAGAGCCTTTTGTTTCCATAAGGTACTTCAAATGTTTCAATACACCATTGAGGTCCATGAGATTGAAAGGAACCTTTTTAGAATGCAATCTCTATATGTTTTGACAGTTAAAGATAAAGCAGAACGTTTCATACCTCAGGAATCAGGCAAATGTATTGTGTATATAGCATTGGCACCAGCATGAGTTCCGCTACCACCAAGCACAAAAAGCATGTTGATTCCTTTCTCCTAAGATACATTTCATAAACTGTTAGAAGTCATATTTTCAGAATCTGCAATGTCTATATAACATCAAAATGTAGCAATAAGATTTATGATGTGGGAATTGAAGAATCCACCTCCATACTGTCCACAATCTCACTAACAGTCGGTCCTCCACGTGAAACACCGAGCAAGCTTCCACCAGAGAGATGAATATTTTGCACCACTTTCCTTCACAGCTAACAATCAAACGCAAAAAACAACAAAAAAGAAAAATCTTTCAGATATATTCTTGGCTAGAGAGCAAAAAAAAAGTGTCAGTTGTTTTCTCAAAGTAACTAATACCGGCATCTCCGGTAGATTCTTATCAGAGAAGCCACGATAATCGAAAGAAATCCCAACGACGTTCTCCACACCATATATCTCTAAAGTGATGACAATCTGCAACAAACAAGATATATCATCAACAAGGGAGAGCTACTCCTCTCTACATGAAACAAAATGTAGCAAACTCACATGTCTAATAACATCATTGAGACCAGGACAAAGCCCACTACAAGTAACAATCGCTACCTTCACTTCCTCGGGTCTAAAGTATATATTTTTTCCCGTGGTCCAGCACGATGGACCCTGTTGATCAAATCCTTAGGAACTTAACTTAGATAATAGTAGTAGTGTCCCAAACTCAACTAGTACTATTATTACCATTGCTCAATCCAAGTACAGTCTGGATCAATACACACTGCTCCAGCAGAAGTTGGTGATGAGTAGTTTATAACCTGACCAAATCCAAATCTAAACCTTAAATTGTGCCCTAAAATTACCAACTTTTTGCCATTAGAGAGAAAACAGAATTACCTTGAGAAGTACTCTGTCTTTGTTATTAATGTAACCATGCCATTCTTCGTCTGAAGGGTAACCACCAGAAAAAAACAGCCGTCGGAGACATACACCAGAGAAAAATAAAAATCAAAACTTAAGTCCTAAAAACGATCATGCATCATGATTGTGTTGTTTAGAAAATAACAAGGACTCTCTCTTTTTTCTTGGAGGGAGACAATTCTCGAAAAATAAATAAAAAATAAACGCTTTTAATTTTGAACCGTTCGATCTTTTTAAGAATTTATGAAATACATTGGGCTTACGTTTGGGCCACCGCCATAACACTTAAAGCCCAATGAAAATTTGAGTCCCACATCGAAAAAAAAACAGAAAGATACTAACTTATGACCCCTATAAATATAAGTATCCCTTTGCATTCTTAATTTAACATACAGTAATGGGCTTTCTACGAAGGCCCGACTTTTGGCATAATTGCCTTAAAAGTACAAAATGATTTCTCATTCTTTTTTTTTTTACGTGTTTAGGTTTTAAACGTTTTTTCTAATCTAATTTTGTTTTTATTTATTTTTTAAATGTTAAATTTTTTAATTTTTGTGTAAACTAATTGGATACAACATCCAAACCCCTAAGAGGTGTTCAAGGTTCAATATGGTTTACACATAATTAAATTTTTAACACTTGTTTTCTTTTTTAATGTTTTGTTTTATTTTCTTTTTTTTGATTAGTGTTAAATTTTTAAATTTTGTGTAAACTAGTTGGATACAACATCCAAACCCCTAAGAGGTGTTCTAGGTTCAATATGGTTTACACATAATTAAATTTTTAACACTTGTTTTCTTTTTTAATGTTTTGTTTTATTTTCTTTTTTTTGATTAGTGTTAAATTTTTAAATTTTGTGTAAACTAGTTGGATACAACATCCAAACCCCTAAGAGGTGTTCTAGGTTCAATATGGTTTACACATAATTAAATTTTTAACACTTGTTTTCTTTTTTAATGTTTTGTTTTATTTTCTTTCTTTTGATTAGTGTTAAATTTTTAAATTTTGTGTAAACTAGTTGGATACAACATCCAAACCCCTAAGAGGTGTTCTAGGTTCAATATGGTTTACACATAATTAAATTTTTAACACTTGTTTTCTTTTTTAATATTTTGTTTTATTTTCTTTTTTTTGATTAGTGTTAAATTTTTAAATTTTGTGTAAACTAGTTGGATACAACATCCAAACCACTAAGAGGTGTTATAGGTTCAATATGATTTACATATAATTTATTCTTTTAACATTTGTTCTTTTTTTTAATGTTTTGTTTTGTTTTATTTTTTTTATAAGTGTTAAATTTTTAAATTTTGTGTAAACTAGTTGGATACAACATCCAAACCCCTAAGAGGTGTTCTAGGTTCAATATGGTTTACACATAATTAAATTTTTAACAATTGGTTTTTTAAATGTTTTAAATTTTGTTTTTTTATAAATGTTAAATTTTTAAATATGTGTAAACTAATTGGATACAACATCTAAACCCCTAAGAGGTATTCTAGATTCAATATAGTTTACACATAATTAAATTTTTAACAATTGGTTTTTTTTTATATAAGTGTTAAATTTTTAAATTTGTGTAAATTAATTAGACACAAGTTGGTAAATTTTTTTTTTATATAAGTGTTAAATTTCCCGCCAAAATAGCAAATCCGCGTTTTTCCGCCAAAACCATAAATCTGCGTTTTCTGCCAAAACCATAAATCTGCGTTTTTCCCGCCAAAACCGCAAACCCGTGTTTTCCCGCCAAAACTGTAAACCCACGTTTTTCCGGCAAAACCGTTAACCCGTGTTTTCCCACCATAATCGCATAACCATGTTTTAGGAAACGTGGTTTTACGTTTTCTTTTAAATATTTAAAACAAAAATTGAATTTAAGTAGAATATTAGTGTTAAAATATATTTAATATTTTCCTCTTTTATTTTAGTTATTGAAATAACTAATATAAAATAAAACATAAATGGGTATTTGTGGAAAACCCCATTTAATAAATAGGTTTAATTGGGGTAACCCATTTAACCCCATTTAACATTTTTCTCTAAATGGGTTTAAATGGGCTAATTTTTTTTGTACACACTCATTTATTAAATGGGGTTCCAAGCCCAAATTAACATCACTAGACACAACATTCAAACTCCTAAGAAGTGTTCTAGGTTCAATGTGGTTTAACACATAATTAATTTTTAACACTTATTTTTTTTCAATGTGTTTTTTTGTTTTTTTTTTTTAAATGTTAAATTTTTAAATTTTGTGTAAACTAATTGGATACAACATCCAAAGGTTCAATATATTTTATACATTATAAATTCTTAACACATAAAACCGTCTTACATCATGTTTAATCTAATCAATGTCATTTAGCTAAAATTGTATGTGACGCTCTGCTAAAGGACGACGATGACACTCGAAAGAGATGGTGTAAACTAATTTTGATTTAAATGATTATTAAACCTTCGTTTGTCCACATCCAAATATAGTGTTTCTTTTTAAATGGTTTTTTAGTCATGGATACAAAATATTGGATTTTAAGGAAAGTTTCATTGGCCATGTTTGCTCTCACTAAAGTAGGATGCTAAAAACATAAGAATTTTAAATTTGATTTCTTTTATTTTTATTTTCGTTTGGGGGATACGTAGCTCATGTAAATCATCATCATTATTCGTAGCTCAGGTCTAATATCTCATATGCTCTTCACATATATAGGCAATTATATGATTACATAATGTAATCTATAGGTATATATAGCCCCTCGCTGATTTCGATGGCCTTTTTCACAGCTATGGTATGTAGAGGGTAATGACTTTAGCTGACATGCTCCTGCTTTTGCTTAGTTTAACGAACTATAAATGTTATAAATCTATAGATTTCTATCCCTTTTTCAAGTTAAGATTCCTCACAAAAATAGCAAATCGTATATATTTACACATACTTTTTTTTTTTCATATATTTACACATACACACATATAGTCATAGATATACACAAAAAAAACCCTCAACTAAAATTAAAGAATAATGATCTTATACTATTGTGAAACAACATCTTAATTCGTTATAGTTTATAACAAAACTTTTTCTGTAAAAATTTTAACTGCCCCATACTCATCTTTGCATGCGTCCATGCTTGTGTTATTGTGTAGATAGGCTTACTTATTAGTTTGCTCTTATTAGTTTGCTTAAAAAACCCCTCTAATAAACAAATACTGTTGAAAAACCTAAACTTTATTTCAACCTTTCCAAAAGGCTATAGCTTTTTGTATTCTGTAATATTATTCGTGAAAAACTTGAATGTTTAATTTTGTTATGACATTCTACCAAAACACTAAGGCTCAACAAATCTAGACCTATCAAGATATATTTTTAACTCATCTGGAACTAGCTATAAGCCCTAGATATAATGACGAAATACATAGACTAATGGACGTCTGTGACTAGATATATGCACAAATCATGAAACGCAAGACGGCAAGAACATGGAAACACACATAAACACTATACGATATCAAAATTTTGTGTAAATATTCTATAACTTCATCACACATGTATAAGTAGCTAGTAGAGTTACTTCGCCTTTAATTAAAACTCTTGAATGTTACCAATAGAATGCAATTACAAGAATTAATCACACGCATAGTCACACCGAACAAGACCTAACATTAACAATCCCTGCCTGTATATATATATATATATATATATGTGTGTGAGTTGTAAAATGGTCCAGACAAGAAACCAGTTTGTTAACAGAAAATAAATTTATATAAAAATCATTTACTTCTGTAACAATCAATGCATCAGCAATGTCTGTGAAAACAGATCATACCTTTTCAATCTTACATAGATGAAAAAAGCTCTTCTTTATAAAAAAAAAAAAAAAAAATCAGATATAATGTAAAATAAAAAGTATCCATTTTTTGTCTCTGCCCATCTCCTGCAAGCTGCTAAATCTGCTTGACTTATTAAGCAGCAGCAACAGCTTCAGAAAAATGCAGCAGTAACAGGACAGCAGCCATATCAAATAAACTAAACAAAGTAAAAAAGTTTGATAACCATTTAATGTCATTTTATACACAATGCTGCAATCACATGTTATATATGTATATACACATTTCACTTTTATAAGACAGCCCATATCTTCTGATTAGTTTCTGACTAGAGGGACATGGGTCTTTAAGTTTTACACTGATCCCTAGCTATCCAAAGTTCTGTTCTGTATAACACCGACCAAACCAAAGCTAAATAAGAGACTCATTAAGGATCGGATAAAGCTTTTTTGGAAGAACAAAATCAAGAATCAAAACAAAAGGCTTTGTTAAAACCAACTAACATCGAATCTTTAAAACATGTTATTTCTTGATAATATCATTAAATCTTGAAAGACATCTTTGTGTCATATATATAGATATATGTATAAATTATCATATATATGCATTTAAAGAGTCATTAATCTCGTAATCATCATCTATCCAAATCAAAAGACAAAGAAGATTTTCCTTTCTTTGTAAAGAAGTGATGATCCTCAAGACTTGCAGCTTCCATTGCTACTAAAGACTCATCATCACTGCTCACTAACCTCAACTGGAGGAGAGAACCAGCACCAACCATAGAAACGCCGCCACGTGGCATACTACCACCGGAAGACGACGACTCTTCCTCCGTACTATTAACACTTCCTCCTCCTCCTCCGCCACCTCCGCACTCCATATCTACACCAAACAGCCTTAACCTCTTCTCTCCTCTCGAAGCCATAGAAGCCACTTGTGCTCTCCTTTGCATCATCACCGGCACAGATTCAATCACAGCCGTTGGATTACTCCTCTCCATTGACCTCACATAGTATCCAATTCCTAGATCTCGTTGATGAAATCGATGATAAAGGTTGTGACTTTCGTAATTTGTCGGCATCTGAGGATGAGGGAAAGTGTAAAACCTAGGGAACATAGCTCCGGCGAACTGATGAGAAGTTTGATGATGATGATGATGATGATCGGGAATCTTAGGTCGTCTCCTCCAATCGATGTAAAGCTTGTCTTTATTACCGGAGTCTCTCTGGAAAGAAACGATGTCTCCAGCATCAAGCTTCTTGTCTTTGACGAAACGGCTCCAACCTTTAGTCATGACATAGCTTTGACTACTGTTCCAGTAAGAGTAACGAAACCTCCATGAGTTTCCGCTTCGGTCTTCAAAGTTTAGAAGCAAACCTTTGTTGTTGTCGTTTGTTGTGGAGTTATCTAATGGGAAGTATCTCTCTGCGTGTTGCTTTGGGATCACGAGTCGGTTTAGTTTGCCTACGTCGCTTGGTGTTACCACTTTGTCGAACATGTGTTCTCTCTCCATTGATGAAGAAGCTTCTTCAATAGGCTTCTCTTTATCTTCTTGATTCATCTTCTTGTTTTGTGGAACCAATCTCAGATCTTTCAAGATTTTGACTTCCTCACCATACGATTTGAGAGTTACTTCGATGAAACTTCTTCAATCTTTTTTTAGGTAGACAAGAAAGAAGAGGATAAAGAGAGAGAGGAAGAGATAAAAACCCTAATTTCAGAATTGAGAAAAAGGAAGAGAATTGAGTATGGTGGTGGATGAGATTGACCTAATTATACAAAAATGGCAAGTGGGTTTTTGCCTAACTTCACTGATTAGCACGATTCTCTCTGATCTCTCTATCTCTCTCTTTGAAGCTTTCTCTCTCTACTGTTTATGGAGCAAGAAACTCTTCAATTCCGAGAAAGGAAAAACAAGTTAGGATCAATCTCTCGTGAACACAGAAGGAGAGAAGGAGAGAAGGAAAGAAAGAGAGAGAGAGAGAGAGCTCATGTAATATAAGATTGATAGAGATATGGGTTGGGAGGAGAGAGGAGAGAGGTGAGAGGGGGACCCATGAACAATCTGGTTCTGTTCATGTGAGCTTCTTGTCCTTTTTCTACCATCCTCGTTTCAATTTTCTCCATATGGACATATTCATTTACATTTATTTGGCCTTTTTCTTTTTTTTTCCGTAGTATGTTTTCAATTACGAAATAAAATCTACGTATATACTAGTATATATATAAGTCATAGTCAGTGAAAATATATATAGAAACGAAAAAATTAGCAACTTAATATATATTCCATTTCCATCTCTAGTTTTTGACGGGATTGCAACATATATGTGTGTTTTTTTTTTTTTTTGCCAACCCTTCAAATTTTGTATTGATGAGAGTATAAAGCTAAATGGTTGGGATATGAGGAGAAATATATGATAATGTCGTGGGCTTAGGAATATCAATAGAGTTTTGTTTTTTGTTTGCAATTATAAAGAATTAGTAAAGAGAAGACTATTGGATTTTTATGAACAGTTAAATAATAAATGCTAATTATTGAGCTCTGTGGTAAGGCTTTTTGGGATGGGTTGCCTCAATCTGCTTTTACAAGGACAAGATGACATGTCGTTTTATAGTTTTGGTCTTTACTGTTGACTTTTTATTTGTTTGCCCTCACTCTTATTTAAATGAAAGATTCACACATCTAATTAATTGCAAACAAATAAGTGAGAAAAATTCATTTATAAACCAATATTGCATGATCTAGTAAAGTGAATAGAGGATTTGCCATATGGATCAACGTTAGAGATCGAATTCATATCTTACAAGTAATTGTTGTAGATATCTTAAATGGTAAAAATACTTGCGTTTTTTTGTAAGTCTCGGATAACTCATAATTTTGGTCTATGACGATACATATACGTTCCTCGGCTATTAAGAAAAAAAGTTGAATGTATTACACTTGTATGATAAGTATAGTTGACAAAAAAATACATTTGTAATACAATGTTGTAACACATGCATATTCTTCTGTTCTATTAGTAATCACACTCACCACCACTTGTCATTTTTGTTATCCCAATCAAAACATTATATTGTCCACATATACTATGTACATTTGGGCTCTCAAGTTTGAACCTAACAAGTTTACTAGAAAAGAAAAGTTAGGACCTGACGACTTAAACTCATACCCATCTATTTTGGAAACCATGATTGCAATTTACGGACCTAGCTAGATTCCGTTTTTTTCTTTATTGTTGTGCCTAATAGATAAGGTCTATGTATTACGGAGAATTGTCCTCTGTTTCCTCGAACTTATAAAACTAGATTGAAAGCGAGTCATCACCATCTGCGATTGTGAAATGGTGGGCTGATTTGTGTTTTTTTCTTATTACGAATCTTGACCGTCATTATTCGTTTTTACTTCATCCACCATTTCATGAAATGTTTTGAATTTATTTTATGAAGCTAAAATACAAACATTTTTTTCATTATCATATTAGAATTTATTATTACGAAGCTGAAAGCTCAAAGAATGATTTATACATTAACATAAATCATGCTTTAATATTTATATATCATATCACGTGAAACAAATAAAAAAATTAGAGTGTAGTTCTCGATCGTGGACCGACCAAAGTATCTAGAGTTATAGGGATGAAGATTTAGAAATCTTTTTTTGTTAGAAGGATTATATATTATTTTCAAAATCAAACGGAAATCGATATAAATTTAGTTTTGGGTACAGCTCATTATTTAGACCGACATCACGTCGTAAACATTACTACATAATAGTAATACACATGTAGTTCTAAAACAAGAGACGTGGCATTCACACGAACCTTCCAATGAAAACGATAAGCTTGTTTAAAAAGAATTCATCACGTAAATTCATGTTAAATCTTATCGTTATTTACGTACGTGGTGAGTGGTCCTGAAAGAGACAAAGCATCATTCATGTCCCTATGGCTAATTTCGGCTTAATTAAGGGAGAACAATCAATTAAGTAAGTCTTAATTAACCAAGGCTGGGTTTAAGCGAAGGTTAATAAAAGTTCATGTTTTCTTTTGAATTTTTTTAAATTAAAGAGTAGGTGAAACTCATGAAAGAACATTGATCGATGTGGTCCAAACTCTCATCTCACATTACATAATTGAGTGGTCACAAAACTTTCAGGCGATAACCTGTTCTTTTTTTTGGTTTGATGATTCTTTATCAGAGATTAAGATTTATATCAACTACATATTTACTTATTAACTTATAATATATGGTAGTATAATATATATGTGTACTCACCCACCTTTTCTTTTCTTTATTTCATGATAACGCCCCCAAAATTTAAAGTTATTATTCACAACAATTAATCGGTCCAAATATTACTCCATCCGGCTGGCCAGTGGGATTTCTTTTAGTGTTTCTCTACAAAGTAATAATGACGAATAAAACAAATTATTTATAAATTCTGAAAAATGTTGGAAAAGAAGAAATTAAATGTTTAATGTTATAGAAATAGAGGAAATTAGGAAGGCGACGTCGTAGCATCGCCCTTTTCAAAGCATATACCCTTATAGCCACGGGACCTATCTATAGTTCTATTATTATTCTATAAATCTTCCTTTTCATTCTTGTTTTGAATTTGAATTTGCACCTTCAGATGCAAAAACTTTGCCATAGATACACATGTACATCATTAATGGAGAAGAGACGATATCATATTTATAAACAAATTATATCATAATGCAAATTAAGATATAGAGAATCCGCTTCCTTCTTCTTTTTTCCTCAACTATTCTCTTCTTGTATAATACAGTAATTGCATAATAAAACAATTAACGTAGTATAACATAAGATGATATACATTAGAAGTAGAGTTATTTCACTTATTTGTAAAAATTTGACGTGATCCATAACTTAAAAACATTATTGTACAACTCAGAAATATCTGAAATCGTGCGGTTTAATTAAAAACATAAAAAGAAAAAGATGGAGAGTAATATGGTGGAGGTAAGAGTATGTGTGGAGATATGCAAGGTAGGGATATTAAAAGAAGAGTTTAGGGTAAGGACCACTACTTATAAATAGATTAAACCCAATTAGCTTTTGCATTGCACTTAACTCTTTTTAATGTCTACTTGCTCTTTTTATATATTTCCTTCTTCCACCTACACCATTGCTAACTAACCCTATCTATTTTTTCATATATACTTCCTTAAATCGGAGGAAGATAAGAAAGAAATTAATGAGTATAGTGCGAAGAAGAGGATGATGATTTTCGAACATTGATTTATGAATTTTCTCTGTAATATGATGATTACATTCTATTTGTGAACGATTGAGATGTGCATTTGGGAGATAGATACAATATACAATGGTATTTCAAATGTAAATGAATTAGGGTTTCTCATTTTTTTATTTTTTATTTTGTCTAAGTAATTAAATGTAGTATAGGATATTTTGGACAGGAGCGACATGTACATCCGTGTTAATCAAATATAGTATCATATGATTATATACCGCGACCATATTATGGGAGAGGAAACCAAAAGCGAAATATCAAAATATTTGATTGTATATGGATACGATAAGTCGCAATCAAATAGGGTAGTGGTGAAATAAAAAAGGCGGACCAGTTTATTCAATAATAATAAAAATAACGAAATTGGAGGATGGATGGTGCGATAATGGCGACAACATTTTCCAACTGTCATTTGCCCCCCAGGGTCTAGGACCCTTTCTCTATCCCTAGCCAACCCTTTCGTCTATTTATTAAATTTAAATAGATAACTTAAATTAATTCATTTATAACATTAGTAAATAGCATGGGTCTTGGAAAGTTTCATGTAGATTATAAAATCTTACCTTTGGTATCTGATTCTGAATTGCTTTTACTCTGATAGCAAAAGCTTTATACGTTTTCGAGCATTGATTTTGTTGTCCATGTTATTCTCGGAATTGGCTTTTTATACTGGTTATTTTCTCGACTTTAGTGAATATTGCATCTCTACGAACAAATCGACTAATGTGTTATTTCTATAGAGGAATCTTATATTGAAAAGAGTCTAGTTAGACTCAAACTGATATTTAATTAAAGAAAAAAAACAATTCGTTTTAAGATGAACAAGTGCAACCATTTGGAAATGAAAGTCGAAAGAGTCTTATCATATAACAATTTAAGACATGTAAATTGATAGTTATATACAATTTAGTTTCAGCATTGACTTGACTTCATCTCTTAACCTTAGGGGTTCGCAAACACACACACACACACAATGATCACATATGAATTTATTTATTTCGAAAAGTACATTTGGTGGTAGGGTGTTATTAATTGATCACCTTAGAATAAACATAAGAACAAAGTATATAGATGGGATTAGAAAAATATATGAATGTGGGGCAGGTCTTGTATGGTGAGGGTGGGATGCAGAGGAATCATTATCAAGCCCAAGTTAGCTGCAGAAAGGGGAGATTCAATTGTATGAAAAATTGGATATGTCTTAATTTTTAAATTCAATATCATGTAATTTTCTTGTTATAATATATATCAAAAATATGCTTTACCATTATAACACACGTAAGAAACTTCACATTATTGACTGTTCTATATTATCAATATATAATATGCGAATTTGGCAATACATATACACTCCTTCGATATACGAATTATGGCCTCTGCAATAGCTGCAAAAGTCAGCTGCTCATGATCCCAGTCTCTAGCTATATATACAGATAACACATTCATTCATTGACTACTTCCACACACACACATATATATAGATAGATATATGAACATGTGCATATAACATAAGGCATGTCAATGAGTGGTGAGTGGAGTTGCATCTGGGACAAAACTCGGATATGATTTTTTTAGATTCTACGAAATGTCAATGTCCATCTGATATTAGTTCTAACTTTTATAAGAAAATATTAGTTTGAGCTTTCTGCGTCAATATGTCTAACTACTATAAGAAAATTTCATTTGATCATACTATAAGTTCTGATCTGAAATTAATTCGGTTACATATGAAAGATGTAATGAAGAAGAAGGTGAATTAGGTGGTCCAACCAAATAAAGACGATAGATAAAGATCAAAGAGTCTCCATTGTCCCTTCACAAATCTCATATATCTTTGTTTTTTAGGTTTAGTCGCTTTCCCTTCTTCCACCAACAACAATGCCAAGATTTTGTAAATGTTATATTAAATACCCTATGGCCTATTCAGTCACCTAATTATTATTTCTCTTAAGCCTCATTAGATCCTAACTACAGAGTTAATTTAGTTTCTCTTACATTTTCAAAATCGAGATTGTTTAACTGGCCCAATTAGTATGGGTCAATGTAAAGCCCATTAGTGGCCTGACAAAATTATAAATTATGGGCCGTTTCGATTAGATCTTCCTTTTGGTAGTTCTCTACTTCTCTTCTTCGGCGGGTTTAATATCGTTCTTCAAACATAATTGGGCCTAAACTGGCTCTAATGGGCTTTACATGTGGTTGAGTTACGTGGCACGTTCACGTGATAATGATTATTTTCATGATAATTAGAGCTGGTCCCAGTGACATTGATTGTGCCAGGTCAAAGGTGATGTGGCATTAACAAACGATTAGTTTAATTAATCAAAATTTTCAGATTATCACCTCACCAAAAATCATGTAGAAATAGTCATTAGCAATAACTATTCATTTAAATAATTTTATAGCCTATTCTTTTTTTTTTTGTCAAACTCATAATTTTCATTGAAATTAAGTCTCAAACTCACTCAAAGGAGGAGGAATTACAACCCAAATGAAGGGGGAATACAAGATAACAAGGCAAGAAGTGCCTAAAAATACTTCAAAGGAAGATAAACTAGAGATAAATGCAAGATACAGTTTTACGAAGGAAGTCCAGTGAGACCGAAACAACACGATCCCAAAAACTTCATAAGAGACTGCATCCAGTGCAACCCGAAGGGTTACAAGCTCCGCAACAAGGGCAGAGGAAGCTAACCGGGAGGAAGGTCCTTGCAATACCGGTGACGCTTGATCATCCAAACCACTCCAAACAAGAGGGACTTTTGGGAAGACAAAGAGGCAATGAATGCCAAGATGAGGAAGCATAGCCCTAAACAGAGACTGTACTTCCCAAATTACATCGGCAAAAACAGAAATGCCAATGCAAAAGATTGGGACAAAGCCCTTAGTAACATACCATATTAGAGCTAGTCTAACAGAGACCTCAATACAAGGTAAAAAGGAGTCACCAATAAGGTGGTCCAAGAGGGTCAACACCGAATCCAAGAGCAAGCCAACTTTAATAGTTAAACTTGTTGAGACCAAATGAGAAAGGATAGTCATCCTTACTTCTGCTCCAAACAAAACGGCCTTCAACACAATGCCTCCAATAACAACATCACTAAACACGAGTGAAGTATTTGGTAGGATAATGAACTCTTTCAAAGAGAAGTGATGACTATGAAAGTCCAATTGAACCAGATTCACTAGAGAGTTCCTTGTCTAAGCCTCCAACACAGGAAAGAGAACTCCACCGAATCAAACATTGACATAGTGAAATCGGATAAGAATCTGCATACTGCAGTAAAGGATCGCATGAAAGCGATATGGGTGCCACAAGAGAGCACAAAAGTAGAACCAAAGGCAACAAGAACCAACAAGAGATCTAAGCCCGTATTCCATAAAACCAGAACCTCAAAATCCACAACAATCTGATGACTTTCCAAGGTAGAGGAATCAGAAGGTGAAGAGGGAGAGTAAACCTGGGAAAACGTGATAGGAGGAGAGGTGGAAGTGTCAGAGAAGAAACACGCAACTCTGAATGAGGTGGTCATGGCCATGGTTGGACAAGGGCGAGCTTCAAGATCTCCAACCCAATCTGCAAAAGGAGAACCACCGGGAAACTGAGCTCCAACAGTAATGAACGACCTTGCAAGGAGGAGAGGAAGACTCGCCGGCGACGAGAGGCCAGAACCGGTAGAGAAGAGCAAGACAGGAGAGCCAACGGAGAGGAGGCGATCTGGTGGCTCTGGTTGGTCCGGCGGAAGAGCTTCAGCGGTGGTGGTGGCAACGATGACTGCCATGGCGAAGAACAAGACGGAGGCGAGCTTCTGGATCTTCAAACACGGGACTGAGGAGACGCAAATACGGACACAAACTTCTGAAGAGAATCGACGGAGAGCAAGAGAAAAACAGCGGCTACAAGGAAGCTTCCGTCGGCCTTCTCTCACGGCCAAAAACCGGAGAAAGGCGCGACGCACACCGAGCAGGGGAGGAACCGCGGAGGGAGACGTAAAAAAAGGAAGGAGAGGCGATGACCGGACGAAGAAAAGTAGATCGGAGCGGCGGCTTTGGGAAAACGCCTATTCTTAAAATTATAATATTTGTATACGTCACTCAAAATCATGAATAAATCTTGTTATTATATATTGACATCAAAACAACGTTACAGGTAAAAAAACATGTCTACTATTTTAAATCCAATGGCTTCAATGGTGACATGGTAAAAAGTAGATGTCGATTTTAAAAATTAAATTGTAACCCCTTTTTTCTAAGAATGATTTTCTACTTTTTCTTTTAACTTAATATCGTACTATAAACTATATAAATTAAATTCGTATTTTTATTTTATTTTTTTGAAACTTATTTTTTCCAACATTATTGTATAGAAAGATTTCACTACTGTAAATATAAATGGAACTAATAGTCGTCTTTCGACTGTAATGACTATTCATAAACAATTAAATATAAAATTCGACGCCCATAGAATTTTGAAATATACTAGAACCATATTTTGAGATCTATTGTTGAACTTTAAAGGAACTAGCTCATAGTTTATTTAAATAAATTGAAAATAGCTATTGTTTTGCTGGATTTGATGATACTAAAATTTTATAAGGTAGGAATTAAGAATTTGATTATACTATATGTATATATTAAAAAAATAAAAAAAGTAATAATGAGAGATATTTCCTGCGTATTTTCCTTGTGGAATTTGGATTCAAGACGTCAAATTTCAGAAGGTTTCTTCTGGACTACTACAAGTAAGAAACTCTTTGCTCTTAAGCCAAAACCAAATCTCAAACACAAGACACAAAACAAAACAAAAAAGTTTATACACACAAAAAAAAAAGTTGATTGCTTTACTGTGTAACATATATAAAAATCAAATCACTGATACAACATCGTCTCCTTTCGTTAACAAAAACAGTTCGTTGTTCCTTAATCCGGAAAAAAAAAAAAAAAAGATAAAGTTTTGATTTTTCTCTGTTTTTTTTTTTGTTTGCCCTCTGCGAGTTTGAGTAGTAATAGAAACAATGGAGGTTGATTCAAGTAAGGATCCGAAAGTCTAACGGGTCAAAAACCCAAAAAATCTGGATGGAGTCGGCACGACTTGTGGGTGACTACGAACTTGGCCCGAGAATTGGGTCTGGTTCGTTTGCGGTGGTGTGGTTAGCGAAGCATCGATCGTCTGGTTTAGAAGTCGCCGTCAAAGAGATTGATAAGAAACTTCTTAGCCCTAAAGTTAGAGATAATCTCCTTAAAGAGATTTCGATCCTTAGCACAATCGATCATCCTAATATCATCCGATTCTACGAAGCAATCGAGGTTTGATCTTTTTTTTTTTTTTTTATCTTTGGAATAATTGAGATTGAAATTGAAGTTGAAATTGAGGGTTTTGATTGGAATTGTGTAGACTGGAGATAGGATATTTCTTGTGTTGGAGTATTGTAGTGGAGGTGATCTTGCTGGGTATATCAATCGCCATGGGAAAGTACCTGAAGCTGTTGCTAAACATTTTATGAGGCAATTGGGTAACGAAATTTATCTGCTTTTTAGGGAATTTTCATGTTTGTAATTTGGAGTTTTTTGTTGGTGTTTGAATCTCTGTTTTTTTGCGTGTCTTGTGTTGTGTAGCTTTAGGGTTACAAGTACTTCAAGAGAAGCATTTTATTCACCGAGATTTAAAGCCTCAGGTAATTTAAAAGTGTAATTGACTCTCTCTTATATTATTGTTTGATGATTGCATTTGTAATCACTGTTCTCTTCTTCTTCAAAATTTTCAGAATTTACTTTTATCGTCCAAGGAAGTTACTCCATTGCTAAAGATAGGAGATTTTGGGTTTGCAAGGTAAGATTTAGATCTCATAAAAATGTTTTCTTTTTATGGAAAAGGTGTTAGTTAATCCATTTGGTGTGTTATTTGGATTTTGGTAGGTCTCTAACACCGGAGAGCATGGCGGAAACATTTTGCGGTTCTCCATTGTATATGGCTCCAGAAATTATCCGGAACCAAAAGTATGATGCTAAGGTGAAGAGACTTCCTCAATTTAAGAAAAGATTTCTCACTCTGTTTTTTGAACTTCTCATTATTTTCTTGTTAATGGATGTTTCAGGCTGACTTATGGAGTGCCGGTGCGATTTTGTTTCAACTTGTTACTGGGAAACCACCTTTTGATGGAAATAATCACATACAGGTTTGTTGTCACCCTAAATCGATAGAATTGCCTCATATGTGAACTTCTAGTGACCTTTACTAAGCTCTGGGGTCTGATCTCTACAGCTTTTTCATAATATTGTGAGAGACACTGAGCTGAAATTTCCTGAAGATGCTAGGAATGAGATTCATCCAGATTGTGTTGATCTATGCAGAAGTCTTCTCCGCCGAAACCCAAGTATTGTTATAGGATTCTCTTTTTGTCTACTTTACTTTATAATCAACTAAATCACAACTCAAAATTTTCATGGAAATATCTGGTTTTCTTACTGCAGTTGAACGCTTGACATTCCGAGAGTTCTTCAATCACAAGTTCCTTCGAGAGCCAAGGTAATGTCTGGATATTTTGACGAAACCAACCTTCATCATCCAAAAGCCTTATTTTTTCTCCCCTTAATTATGTCATACTAAATGTTGTTAGACAAATGCCGGATGTTGTGCATTCTGGTTCTACTACCTCTACGGGGAAATCATCGTTGCCCTCCGCACAACCAAGTACCAGTACAAACCGTTTTAAATCAAGTGCAGATAATGTTCACAAACATGGGAGTTCCTCTAGTGCCCCAAATTCTCAAATTTTAATGCCACATATCTCTTTTGAGAAGACTAGAAAAGACACTGAGGGACAATGCTCATCAAACCAATCTGGAGGTTTGTTATTCGCAATTTTGTGTCTGATCTCTGTTGCTCTGTATAAGATCGTATTACCCACAATCTCTTGCTATTGTCATTCGTGCAGTTGTTGACTCACTTGAGCTGATAGAGAGAGAGTATGTTCTTGTAAACCGTCCTTCTGCCTCGCTGGAAGGTTCATCAGATTTTTTCGACACATCATTGCAAGATTCCGGTTTCCCTAATATCTTACCCAGGAATGAAAAAGTTTCATCAAGTTCACTTGAAGCACAGAGACCATTATCTGATGTGTCAGGTCCACGACCAACAAGCGGATCGTATCTGCTAACAGAAGTACAACGCTTAACGATTGTACATCCTCCAACTAAGCTCCAACTTTTGCATCAGTATGCACAAGCACTTACGGAACTAGCTCGCGAGATGGTAACTTAAACTCCTAAATCTCAGGTCTTAAATGATAACATTAGAGCTTCTAACACCGTTGCATACAGGGCAACACAGGACAGGTAAAGGAATCTTTTGCTGTTACACTCGTGGTTTTAGCTGTCTGGAGAAAAGCCTTAGAGATATGTGATTCTTGGATGATATCCGTTGGAGAGAATAAAGTGAACCCAGATCCAACCACAGCTCCTGAGTTTTCAATTCCAGATTTGAATTCACCTGCATCAGCTAAAACATGGGTGACACAAGAGTTTGTTACAGCGTTTAACCAAGCCGAGAATTCATCAACACAACTAAACGAAACAAGCGGTTAGTTCCTAACCGAGCAATTCTCTGTTATGCTTCTTGCAATTATCTGAAGGTGTCTCCTTCGTTTCATTACAGCTGCCACTCATATGCCTGACGCCATGGAAACAATATACGAGAGGGCACTAGCATATGGCAAGAGTGGTGGGGTAAGTATAAAGTTTCCATCCTTTTTACATTTTTGTTTTTACCATTTGGTTCTAAAGTCTGAAACTTTTATGAAAAGCTTCCACCTTTTATCTACCCATTTGTCCGAAAAGTGTGAACTGAAACGTTGTGGGTTGATCCATTTTTATTTGTTTATCAGGCTGAAGAATATTTGAGTAACAAAGAAAGTGCAGCAACATTATACAAGAAAGCAATTCTTCTACTCTCCTTTATAATCGAGGAAGCAGTGACTCTATCTCTAAACCCTCCTTTCTCACTAACCCCTGACGACAAGAAGCGGATTCTCTACTACATCTCTAACTTGCAGCATCGTCGGTCTCATCTTTAGCAAAAATCGACCACGGGCATTGTACATAAGAAACTTTCCTGGCTCTGGCTTGCGTCAAGTCTATAACATTTGTGGCTTTTCCTTATATTCTCTTGAAATTTCGAAACGGTTACACTCTATATTGATGATGCTGTGACCAAAAGTATTTGCCTCCCCCATTGTATAGTGCCAATATCAATAATAGCTTAAAATACCAAAGATGCAAGCTTTGTTGATGCCAAGAATTCCAGTGTATGGGCTTATTTTGTGGGCCTATTAGTATAATAGTCAAAGCTCATAAGGATATATAGCAAACTAAAACAATGATTGCTTTCTATTCAACATCATAAGTCTTTAAGAATGGGCTATTATAAGAAGCAGTCTAAAACTGTAAAGTCTCACCACCATAGACACTATTTACCATTGACAATGATCGTAAAGTCAACACTTAAAATAGAGACAAAAGTCAAACCATGATTGATGAAATAATAAGGAAAAAATATATTCAGCTACACGAAATATAACGGAATACATGGCTACACATGACAAGTTTAGAAATATACAACTAACTACACGAACTAAATGTATTGCATGCCCACATATACCAACTATATGACGACATGTAGTCAACATCACGAACATCTTATTCCGGTACACCAATCGTCGAAATCCGGCGTTGACCATCGTTGACCGGCATTAACCAACAAAAATATGCAAAAAAATTATTTTTATTTATTTTAATATTAAAAACAAAACTAATACATATTAAATTCAACATAAAGATATTTTGTATATATATTTAATATATTGATTATTATAATTAGTTAGTTTTTTCAATTTAAAAACTAAAATAAAAGTGAAATAAAAATAATTAAGCGAAATACTTATTTGTACATTGTCAATAAAAAACATTAACTTCTTATTTTACAAATGTTTTTGCTAAAATCAATATCGTTAGATTTTCTATTTTCTATATATTAAAAAGAAACATTGCGAATTTTTTTGTTGTTTACGCGTTATTACGAGAATTTATATTAATAATTTTAATTTCAAATTTAACAATATATTAAATTTAGACTAAAGAGTATATAAAATTTTCTATATATCTTTTTTTATGTATTATGATTTTGATTTTAGCAAAAAACTTTATATTTTTTTACCATGCAAAATTTAGACTAAAGAGTCATATACTCAATTTTTTGTAATAGAATTTTATTTATTTCGCTTTTGGTTTAATTTTGAAATTGAAAAAATTAACTAATTATTATTATCATACAAAATATATATATTTTAAAAATATAGAATGTATTTTTTTTTCTTATTATTATACAACACCATAACCGATTCTATAGAATAATTCTTTTTAAAAACATTTAAAATAAATAAAAATATATTTTTTTGAATATTTTTGTTGGTCAATACCCTTGTTCTAAAAATCCCCGCCTAGCCCCGATTACTCCCCGCTTAATCGCTAGGCCCACCCTATCCGCCTCGATTAATGACTAATCCCCTAAAAAATCAGTAACCCGATTATTCTCCGCCTAATCCGATTACTTCCCGCCTAATCCGATTATTTTCCACCTTATCTTATATACCCCGATTATTTTTTAGATTGCAAGTATAAAAAAAACTTTTATTTTTGTTATTCAATCATTTGAATGGAGAGTTTGTGATGTTTTACAATAACTTGTGTTCAAATTTTAATAAAAATCATAAATTTGTAATAAAAATCATAAATTTTTACAATATTGGATTAATATATTTTAAAAATATTAAATAACCCTAAAACTAATCTCCGATTAATCCCCGATTTTAATCCGATTTTCCGATTAATCGCTAGGCCCATGCCGAGCGCCCGACTAGCGCCTAGCGATTTTTCAAACAAGGGTCAATACCGGTCAACGATGGTCAATGCCGGATTTTGATGATTAGTGTACCGGAATAAAATGTTTGTGATGTTGACTACATGTCGTCATATAGTTGGTATATGTGGGCATGCAATACATTTAGTTCGTGTAGTTGATTGTACATTTTTAAACTTGGCATGTGTAACCATGTATTCTGTTATACTTCGTGTAGCTGACTATCTTTTTTCTAAATAATAAAGACGAATAAGGTCAAACTTTTAATTAGATGGGATGGGACCCTAATATTACAAAACACCCAAATCCTGAAAAATAATAATCGAACAATCCAATAATATACGAACAAAACAGAATTTAATTCTGTCAGTAGGAAAATGAAAGAACGAAAAACGAATTTTTATTCTCTTAATTCTTAAAAAAATAGTACACGTAGGAAAAAAAAAAGATACCATTTTGTCAGCTGCTAATATTTTTTGGAATTATATTTTGGCCATATGTGTTTTAATCAAATCGTCGGAATATCGAAAATCTGATGCACCGCCGCCGTAATCTCGTCGGCTGATTCTAATTCGCACTCATCCTCCATCTGCTCCGACACAAATGAAAAAAAAAAAACAAGATTTTTAATTAAAGATTCAATTTTTCAATGTTGGGTTTCTGTTAGTTGAAGTAAAAAATGGAAAGTAGTATTTACCTTGAGGTTGAAGGAATAAGAAACAGAGGAATGAGACGAAGTGGTGATATTCAGATGAAGAACAGTGAGTTTAAGCTTTTCGAGTGAAATGATTCCTTTGAGAAGTTGTCCTTGTTTCTTCGGGCATTGAACTTTAAGGCTGACATGGTTTTGTATCACTGTAGCTTCGATTTTGGGGATATAAGTTTGATCTTCTTGAGTTGTCCACAAGGCGTTCGACGAAATGCCTGAGAGATGATTAATTGCGTTTTCTACTACCTCACTGCTTTCTTGTTGCGTTCTCTTTTGCGATTCAAGAGATTGTATGATTTGCTCTAGAACCTTCACGTAGTTTATCGCTCCTCCTACTATGGAAGCTTGGTCTCCCTGCAGAACAAATTTGATAAGGTTTTGATGATTAAAGGATGAAACTTTCATGTATGTTTTTGTTATTTACTCGTTGGATGTAGGAAGGTGGGAGAAGGGCACGGAGAGAGTTGATATGTTCGTTCATTTGACGTCTTCGATTTCGTTCGACAGCGATGTGGTTTATTCTTTGATTCTCAATCTCTTCAATGTTTTTACTTGGTTTTGTTTTCCTCCTCTTTCTCTTTTCTCGAGTCATTTCTTGTGGCAGCAAGTGGTTGATTTTGCGCTTACGTCTTGAATTTGCAGTGAGTGGTGATGAGGTAGAAGAAGGGAGTGTCATGATTGCTTGGCTTAAGAAAGGTTCTTGGCTTGACAAGGCTTGATTGGCTCCTTCCATGGATGATGCTGAAATCGGTTTCTGATAGAAGCAGTTAGTCTCGGATTGCCTCGGTGAATCAGATTCCGGAAAGCTTTCGAGTTCCCAAGGCTCTTTGAGGGTTTGAAGAGATAATAGTGTTAGAAAGTTTGGTTCTTTGATTGAAAAGAACGATGAGGGGTCTTCACTTTGCAGCATCTGTAGAAATGGAACTGTATCTTGTAAGCTTTCTTCCTCTTCTTCTTTGAAGGCAAAGCTTTGAGCCTCTGCAAATCCTTGAACTTCTAGGCTTCTCACATCCGGTTTTCGATCGAAAAACTGTAAGAAAGACAGAGGAATGTTGAGATTACCCGGTGAGGCGCAAATGATTGAAAGAGAAGTGTAATTTAGTTCTACTGTGGGTTAGTACAGAGATAAACAAAAGTAGAAGGGAAAATGGAATGTTTTCAAAGAGAGGGAAGCAAAAATGATTGCAGAATTGTTATTGTTTTCTATAAAACAAACAACAAAAGCATTAAATGCACAGTATCTGGACTAATTAGGAATGAGTAAAAGCAAGTCCATGTCTCTGAGTATAGATAAAAATGATTCAAGGGAAGAGAGAAAGATTGAAGAAAGAGAGTTAAAAAGCTTTCTAAATCAAGCAAAAGATACATACACAGGGGTTGATGTGTCCTTGAAACCTTTTCATTTGAGAGCTCTTGTTTGGTATGTAATGTAATGAACACAGGATGAGTGAGTAATAATAAATGCTAAGAATCACCAAAGAGGCAGAAGAGGAAACTCATGTACTCTCTTCTGATTCTGAGCTTTTCTGGACTTGTAACTGTTAGCTTTATATAGAACAGTGAGTCTTTACTAAAGCTATTGAGAGTAGAGTGGAAACAGAGGAGCTGTAAAAAACAGAGAGGTAAGAAAAATAGATGCATTTGGGTACTGTAAGAGTTGGTGAGGCTGAGCAGAGCAGAGGAGAGAGAGATATTATTGGTGGAAGCAGTTTTGTCTTGAAGTGGAGACAGAGTTTGTGGGGACAATTCTAAATTACACAGAAGAAGAAGGTAAAAAAGAGACATGTCATGGGTAAGAGAGCTTCCATTGGGTTTGTGTCATCCTTTCTCATGATGTCTCAATCATCCTTTCTTCACTATTCCCATACCACACCATTCCTTTTCTTCAAGACTCAAAAAGCTAAACTTTATACAGAAACCATGTTGCATTTGCATGCATCCATCATGTTCTAATGATTCAAACCTTTAATAGATGTAAGGTTTCTAAAGTGTGGATTTTGAATTTTACTTTGCAATCAATATATATCTTGATTACAATTATTAAAAAAACAGGTTGACTCTAAATGCCTTGGCTGCTACGGCATTAAACAGTGTTTGTCCTCTAAATATGTCCCAACATGTCCACAAGCTCAATCCAAACGGGTTAATTCATATCCGGTCTCACAAAATTTGAGCAAAGAAACAAAACATTTGGGCTTTGCGTAGTTAACTAAGACCTTAGAAACCTTATCAACACATCAAAACTCCAAAGAAAGTTTGAATCTTTTTTATCAATTGTGTACTGGATATGGTTGTTAACTGTCACACACGAGCTATGGTTACTCGCTCTTAGGACAAACATGCCCCACTCTTTTTGGTAGGTCTATTATCAAAGATAAACCCTAAAGATTCTGATTCTTCTATGGTAACTTAACACAATTCCCTAATCTCAAATAAAGTTATGATGTCCTTTTAATTACCTTTTTCAAGACAAGACCAAAAAAAAACTTATCCATAAACAAGAAATACAATGGCATATGTCACAGCAATGTAATGAGAGCACACGAGAAAGCGAAAAAAGATTTAACTTTGATCATGAAAATGACAGAAAACCAGAGAAATGAACTCTTTTGTTGTTTTAACGCTCGATTTGTATCGTAACGTGACTGATACGATACTCTCTCCAGATGTAATCGATCACTTTGTTCAGCACCATTTCATCATCAGCTTCTGGTCTAACCTTGACATGACAAGAAAACAGAGCTTTACCAACTGTAATTGCCCATATGTGCAGCTCATGAACATCCACAACTTCTTCAATTTCCATCAATCCCTTTTCGAGCTGCCTCGCGTCAATCTCTCTTGGTGTGCTCTCCATTAGAACTTCAAGTATGCTTCGAAGCATCTTAATGGTTGTCCCTAAAACAATAACTGAAAAGACTAACGTGCATATCAAGTCAATTACTTTCCATTTAGGGTTATACCAAATCATACCCCCTCCAATCATTACTCCAATGCTCTGGATTAAATCCCCAAGAACATGAAGATAAGCCCCTTGCACATTAATGTTCTTAATTTCCTTCGATTTCTCCAACAATTGCTCAGCTTTTTCCCCATGACTATGACTATGACCACGACAATGACCATGACCATGCACATGACTATGACTATGATCATGACCATGTCCATGTCCATGATCATGTCCAAGCACTACAATCATTATGATGTTTACAAGTAAACCAAAAGTAGCAACAAGAACCATAAAGAAACCATCAACATCATCATTGGTCTCTTGAACGAGTCTAGTTACGGCTTCATAGACCAAAATCCCAGTGAGTAACCAAATGAGCTGGATTGAGACAAGAGCGCCCAAAATCTCAATCCTGAAGAATCCATAACTCTGTCGCGGATTTGCTTCCCAAGAAGAAGCCCACAAGGAGAGCATAGAGATAGCAAAAGCACCAACATCAGTGAGTAAATGAGCTGCATCTGCTAATATAGCCAAACTATTAGCCTTGATGCCACCAACAACTTCTATGCTCATGAACAAAAGACACGACACCACAACGAAACAGAGCTTTCGCATCGAAGCAGCTCGTTCTTTAGCATCACTTGTCGATATTGAAAACCCACAAGCTGTTTCTCCACAGACTTTACTTCTTCTTGACTCCATCTGCAGTAAAAATCGTAACTTTAGAGATTGGATCAATGGACTATACGCAATTATATGTATACAATATATTTGTTACCTTGCACAAACAAGATAGTAGAAACTCAATTCAAGAGTAAGGTTTATAGTTTAAGACATGAAGGAGTCTTCTAAAGGTGGAAAAAACAGAGAAGTGACAAGGACATGCATCGCACAACTACACAAAGATGCGAGCAAACCAAAAAATTCACATTCCAACATACGTAGAAAGGAGAGTTTTTTTTATTAATTAAAAACCCATCAAGTAATTGATATGACAACATATTCATACCATAACAGAGAGTCAAAACCTTAATCATATAGTATAACATATTTAAGCAAAGACTCATCGTAACAATGACGAAATCCAAGCGACATCAGATTCCGAGTTAGACCAATTCTTGATATCACACAGAGTGGAAAGAATCTTGAAACAAAAGCTAGACTCTCTATCTCCATATCGTCTGAATTTCCATTAAAGTTAATAATTTTATCTAGTTTTATTTTTTGGATAATCTTGTTTCCACGAAAATGTTTGTTTTTCGAAACAAATGAATCTAGGCTATACAAAATAACAAGCCCATTTTTAAAGTTATATAATGGGCTAATGATAAATGCTTGGCTAAGTAAATTACTTCGGCTGCTATGTTAACGACGAAAATTATTCGGTCTATCTTAGACGTCTTTGACTTTCAACGGGACTTAATTAATTAAGATTTTGAAAAAATGCAAAAACAAAAAACAATACAAAGAAAAACGTTTAACATTACCAATTTCATGTAGACTCAAATGCTTTTAAAAAAAAAACCCTTCAAAATTAACATTTACATATTGATGGAATGTTAATGTTTGTTTTTGTAATGATCAATTTGGAAAATTTCCAAAGGATAAATAATGGAAACGTTGGGACTCTATTCGAATTCTGAACCGGTATCCAGGTATGTAAAACCTTATGCACACAACCCTAAATATAGTCAAACATTATCATAATTCAAAAAGGATAACCATTGTAATTATTTAAAATAGATAAACAAAATATAAAGATTATTAATTATCCTAATTTTATATTACATCATTTGTTACAAGAATAAAGAAATAAATCATTTTGAAGCCCTCCGATGGCGCCAATGAGATCTTCAGAGGCCCAAAGAGCAGCTGTGACCAAGCACAAAACCTTAGTTCCAGAGATTCGGTAGATTCGATAGGTCGATAAACGGCTTGGATGAACCAGAGGCTCTTTGATTAATTTGAAGTTGTCGATTAGATTTGAAGTTTGTCAGTAAGTTTATCTTTTGAGATTCCACATATATGCGATGCTAAAACGCCATCAAAACTCTTATATTTGTTGAAAATAAAAAGTATTGAGATTTACATTTTTATATCTTTAATTAAATGCATGACACAAATATACTACTTTAATTTTATTTCTTCTTCTTTTCTATTTTTTGTGAAACTCCTTTTTTTTCTTTTTTTCTTTCTTTAGCCTTACATATAATTGTTGATCTAGAAAACGTTATTAAAGTGTCGTCTATCTAAACTTTTAAACTATATGTATTGAATGCACATGTATTAATTAATTATTCCTCTGTGATGGAACCCAATCTTCGAGACACCAAGTAACTTCCACACCGTTGAGATCGAACATCGCCACCGGAGCCAAGAACACTCGCTGGTAAGCGACCTTCCATACATTCTTTAAGAATCAAGAAACCAATCTTACCACCGTCGTCCGATTGATCACCACGACGCGCCAAATATAAAAGATCTTCCAATTGATCTCTTCTCATCCTCACTTTAATCCGTACACTCCTTCGACGTTGTTGCTGTGGATCCTCCACGTGTCTTCCTCTTCCTCCCTCGCCGGAAGCCGGGTGCACAGCGCAGCTTCTCCTAAGAAAATTCCCCATTTCTTGATCTTTCTTGTTTTCCAAACGCTTGCATTAATTGATACGTGTATGACTTGTTTCTATATATGACTATGAGAGATTGTTAGGCAATTTCTATAGGCGATGGCATTTTATATAGGCGTGCCGCGTGGGCAATTTGGTTTTCCGGTTTGGGTATTTCGGTTTTGCCGTCAAAGTATGTCCAAACGAAACCAGAAAAATGATTTAGTTTGGTTCGATTTTCGAAATTTTTGATTTATTTCGGTTTTAGATAACTCAATATCATCTTTATATATGACTGAGTATAGTCTTGATATCAATTTGATTAAAAAAATGTTATTCTTGATAAAATCTAGCTACTAAATTTAGTTTTGGTTTGGTATATAAATTGTTAGCATTATTCGATTTTCAAAGTAAAATACGGTTAGATCTCGGTTTGAAACCATTTGGGGTTAAGTTTATTGGAATGATAAATGAGGAAGGCGTTGGAGTAAGAATGTGAACTACGATGCATGGGGCATGCGAGGTTTTTAGACGGAATTATTAAGTGTTGTTCTGGTTCACGTATCTGCTGACGTGGAATCTAAGTAATTAAACACAGGGGTGTGTTTCACGCGTCAACTATCTTAAAGTACGGTCTTTATCTCCGGGATTTTGTCACCTTAACCCTCTAATTTAATACTAATAATCACCTATTTCTCGTTTTTTTATTAAAATAAAATATTAGATCGAATGAAAACGGAAAACCTCCCCGTTTTTCTGATTGGGTTTCGATGTGATTAAATTTTTGTATGTAAGATCCCCGTTTAGCAAGCTCATTAAAGAAGGCAATGTCATTTTTTTTTGTTCACAAAAGAAGGCAATGTCATAATCTTATATAATCAGGACCATAAAGTAGAAATTCATGATGTAGTTTTTCGTTAGGCCCATTATGTAGTTCCACTTAGTTAAGTTTAGCCCATTATGTAGTGTTGGTTTGGGCCATATAGTTGTTGATGTTTAGGCTAAACGTGCGACTCTGCCAATCCTAATAAATCTACTACCTAATTTTAACCAAATGTTAAAGATCAAATTTGAAATTTAAAGGCTCAAATGAACTTCTTTTCTTTGTAATTAAAAAACTGAGTTGTTTTGGACTAAAACCAATACACTATCTCACTTGAGTCTTCTATTTTTTTTTAATAAAAAGAATAAATCAAAGCTGACAAAAACAATAAATGAATAAAATTTCATTTGTATTTCTATAGATATTGATTCTTTGCTAGTATTTGAAATTTCAGCATGTAGTGTGTGAGAGACTGAGACAAGTAGCCAGTGGTCTTTTTTATATAATATATTTTGCACTATGGTGGGTTCAATGCTCTCTAATAGCAATTTAAATAATAGGAAAAAAGAGAGTATGTAATATGGGCCACTGCCCATTAGGACCCTTGAAATTAATAATGACCCGCCAAGAAATTGTTGGTGTACGTAATTGAGTGCACCGAAAGGTGGTACTACTGTTTTTTTTCTTTCGTATTTCCATAATCTTTCTTTTTTGATCTCCGTATAATATAAGAAGACAAAATGTTATATTGTTGTAGGACATGGATCCACAAGTTATGAGTCATTAAAACAATCAATTCGAGTAAAAACAACATGCAATTATATACTCTGTTTATCTGATAAGGTATATATACTCTGTTTGGTCAGTAGTTTAACACGTAAACCTTCCATTTATAAATTTCTACTAATAGTTTTCGTGGAGGTTTTCTAAGAATTTGGTTTCACCTGAAAGTAAAATGGTAAAGTTCATTTACCATACTCATTATAATCATCCACAATTTTATAAACATTAACGTCTTTTTTTGTCTCTGTCGGCCTTTTTACCTTTTGACCTCACGTGAACATTATTATCCCTATCACACTACCTTTAATTTCTAAAGGAAAATGGGTTAAACCATTTATCTTCTTTTTTTTTGTAATTTGTTTAGGTAACTTTCTTTATTTTTTTAATAATTTTTTTGCCAATTATTCTACAAAATAGATCATTTTACCTAAATTTTTTTACTATATATGTTGCCAATTGTTCAACAAATAGACGTTAATATATATATTATATTACCAATTACTCTCAAATAATCAAAAAAAATCTTGATCTTTGAAGAATTAAAATAATAATATGATGATATTAAATCGCAAGCACGGATCTTCATTCCTTTTTTACCAAGAAAAGTGGTGGACCATTCCCAATATTCTTTTTTCTTTTTTTAACATCGTAAAGATATATACTTCATATTTGCTCAAAGAAAACGTTTATATTAAACCCTTCTCTGTCTCGGGTTTTCTTTGGATTCCATACATTACATTACTTATACACAAAATAATTAGTTGTTATTCTAACTTGTATAGAAAAAAAATGGGTAACTGCGTATTCAAAGGCAATGGTGGTTTAAGTAAATTATACGATAAAGATAATTCATTGATAAAAGTTGTGACCCCAAACGGTGGCGTGATGGAGCTTCATCCTCCCATCTTCGCCGAATTCATCACCAACGAATTTCCCGGCCACGTCATCCACGACTCTTTAAGCCTCCGTCACTCATCTCCACCGCTTCTCCACGGCGAAGAACTCTTACCTGGTAACATCTACTACCTCCTCCCTCTTTCTTGCGCCGCCTCAACCGCTCAACAACATTCCTCCGACCAGTTATCAACGCCGTACAGAATGTCTTTCGGGAAAACGCCGGTAATGGCGGCTTTGAGTGGTGGCGCCGGAGGGGGTGGAGTATGGAAGGTGAGACTTGTGATAAGTCCGGAGCAGCTGGCGGAAATTCTTGCGGAGGATGTGGAAACGGAAGCGTTGGTGGAAAGTGTGAGGACGGTGGCGAAGTGCGGCGGTTACGGCTGCGGCGGAGGAGTTCATTCGAGAGCGAATTCAGACCAGCTAAGCGTTACGAGTAGCTTTAAAGGGAAATTGAGGTGAAATTTCGAATTATCTAAACTACGTTTATGTAATTTTTGGTTGTTAATTATATATGTTTTAAACTGATTCACGATTTAAGCATTTAAATTATGTTGATTTCCGTATTCGTTGGAGACTTGGAGCGATTATATAAGTTTATCAACTTAGAAATATGTGAATTATCAATGTTATCTTTCATGAAACAATTAATTTATGAAGTCGTGGTTAGAGTCAGAGATTATTCAATCTTTTTCCCTATTCAAAACTAACAGTCTAAGAGCATTTCTATCAATGAGTGTCTCAAAAAAGAGTATCTCAGAAATAAAAAAATACTATTGTTATTATGATTTTATTTTTTAATTAAATTTAAAATAATTAATTAAATTACACCAAACAGATTAAAACACTTGGCAAAGTTGCTTTTTAAGAGTGTCTCAGAGTTTTTCGCAGGAGAAATGTATCTCCTTCTCTCTCCTCTTTTTCTATTTTTTTATTATTTTAATTGCAAAACACTAGATGAAACATCCTCATTGGAAATAGTCTAAACGAACAAAACAAAAGAGAGTCATATCGTTCACTCGGGTACTAGAACAAAAGGGAAACAAAACTATTTTATTTCAGGCCAAAGAACCCAAAGCTGGCCAGAAACAGTGTAGGCTTAGGCTAAAGTTATAAGTCCTGCATAACTATTATAAGTTCCTGAAAAATCATTTTTGAAACAAACAAACAAAAATTGTTCCGAGACTTGACCATGTATCCAGCTAAAGAATTTGAACATTTATTATTTATTATTGAACTTTGTCATTGAATACCTTGGGATATGAAGATGTGAAGTGTTTCAGTGTTTGCAACTTGTAAGCGTAAAATCAGTTTTCACGAAAAAAAAAAAAAAAAAAATTGTCCGACAAGGACGAGTATATATATAGTTATATGACGTCTCACCATTACGGGTTTAATAAATTTTGAAACATCTCAAAAGATTGTTTCCCATTCAAACTTTCTTCATCTTCTAGAAAATTTACGATTGTACGTACGTATAATGCTTAAATTATATCATTTTGTATTTTTGTCACTATATCATCATCAATTCATCGTAGCTCCGTGCCGCAACAACGTTCATTTTAATCAGATTATATATGTTACAAAGAAATGTAACCCAATTAACTTGTTATTGTTTTTAACTCGCCAGATTTCAGTGCATAATATGATTTTATAGAAGTATATACATGGATACAATGTTACAACTTGTAATTAAGAAAAGTAGTTTAAGAATCCTGGTTATCCGTTTTACTGTTTTATGTTGTTATAGTGTTATTTTATATCACATGGCCATAATAAGTTCTAGCCGCCCTTGTCTATTACTCTGCTATAAACTCAGAAACATGTTAAAAAAATGAAAAACGACATTTCAGATTAACTCAAATTTTAATCTCATAATTTAATATTTTATCAAGTACTTGGCATAATAAAGGCCGATGTTGTCCTATATAACACATGGCAAATTTGAGGCGCCCTTGCGTATTAATCTATTAGTATAAACTTAAAACCATGTTAAGAGAAAAAAAGAAATTTAGAAAATAACCGTTTGTAAATAGGCCCCCACAAAATCTACATAATACGTAGATACTTTGCTTACAGTTGTAAACAACTGTTCATCTAGATTCATGTCGTCATTCAAATTAAATAAATACAATAATTTAAAATTTTTTGGGTGAATCGAATCCACACCGTCTTTTCTTGAATACCAGATAGGTTAACTTTATAATTAGTTCGAGTGAACCACATGCACGATATACGAATCTTAGACCTTTGTTGCAATGTTACCTGCGCATTTATTTGATAAACGCTTCTTCAAACAGATCTTGATCTCTAATTTTCTCTCCATCTTCTAAGGAGGTTGCGGTTATCATGTCGTATACATCTCAACATTCACCAAGTCTACCATTATCTTCACATCATCACCTTCAATAAGCCTAAGCTACGAGTTTTAATGTCATATTTAACACAATAATGTATAATATGAAATCTTTGTTCATCACATTACATTCTTTCTTTTTCGCCTTCACCGTTCATTCAATATATTTGAATGTTTGATATATAGACACCAGGAAAATATATTTAATTTTACATAAAATTTTAAAACGAATACTTATTTTGTAGCAATTTTTTGTGTTAAACTACAAAATAAATTGGAAAAAATAATATATGTTGTGAAACTTATTGTTATCTTTTTCCATTCCATGAATAATGATACATATATATAGGCATATAAACCTAGGGTTTTAGAGTACATAATGAATAACCCTGATGGGCTTATTGGGCCCGGTTATAAGTCCAATATGATGTATTATAACACTCCCCCTTGGACGGAGTAACCGGACCTGATGGTCAATCGGGATCTCGATAATACGCTGGGGAATGTTGCCTCATTAAAACCTTACCAAGAAAACCTAGTGGGAAAAACCATGGTGAAGGAAAAAGAGTACAACACGCATTACTCCCCCTGATTAGAGCATCACCGTAGATCTCTAAGTCTACGCATTCCTATTTGTTGGATGAGCTTCCGGAGTGTTGAAGCGGGCAATGATTTGGTGAAAAGGTCGGCGGAGTTATCGCATGATCGGACCTGTTGAACGCTGATCGTACCATCCTTCTGCCAATCCGAGGTTGAGAAGAATTTCGGTAGGTTGTGCTTCGTCCGATCTCCTTTGATATAACCTTCCTTGAGTTGAGCAATGCAAGCCCCGTTGTCTTCAAACATAACCGTGGGCTCCTTATCTTCTTTCATACCACAATCTGATCGGATGTGCTGAGTCATGGATCGTAGCCAAACACATTCTCTGCTGGCTTCGTGAATGGCCAAAAGTTCTGCATGGTTTGATGAAGTGGTAGTGATTGTCTGCTTTATCGATCTCCAAGAGATAGCTGTTCCTCCATGCGTGAACACATAACCAGTTTGAGACTTGGCATTGTGCGGATCTGATTGATAACCTGCATCAGCAAAACCAACTAGTCCATCCTTGTTGTGGTTAGTGTAAAACAGTCCTAAGTCTTTAGTACCTTGAAGGTATCTTAGGAGGTGTTTGATACCATTCCAGTGCCTCTGAGTTGGACATGAGCTGAAGCGAGCTAGGAGGTTCACGGCAAAACAAATGTCTGGTCTAGTGTGACTAGCCAAGTACATTAACGCTCCTACAGCACTGAGGTATGGCTTTTCTGGACCGAGAATTTCTTCATCGTCTTTCTTGGGACCAAATGGATCACTGTCCAATCCTAGGCTCCGGACAACCATTGGGCTGTTCAATGGGTGGGCCTGGTCCATATTGAATCGCTTGAGTACTTTTTCAATGTAAGCCGCTTGATGCACAAGGATTCCTCCTTTAACGTACTCAAGTTGTAAACCCAAACAGAATTTAGTTTTACCTAGGTCTTTCATTTCGAATTCTGCTTTCAAGCAGTCGACTGTTTGGGAGATTTCACCAGATGTTCCGAGGATGTTTAGGTCATCCACGTAAACTGCTATGATTACAAATCCTTTGTTTAAGTATTTCTTGATGAAAATGCATGGACTGATGGGATCGTTTTTGTAGCCTTCTCTGATGAGATATTCGCTTAACCGGTTATACCACATACGTCCACTTTGTTTCAGTCCATACAAGGATTTGTTCAGCCTGATGCAGTATTGATCTCGAGATGCATGCTTATCTTTAAGCTCTATGCCATCTGGTAATCTCATGTATATTTCATTGTCGAGGGGCCCATAGAGATATGCGGTGACAACATCCATTAACCGCAAATCTAGATTTTCTCTTATGGCCAGACTCATGAGGAATCGAAAAGTAGTTGCATCCACCACCGGAGAATAAGTCTCCTCATAATCGATTCCGGGTCTCTGTGAGAATCCTTGTGCTACAAGCCGTGCTTTATAACGAATGACTTCACCGAGTTCGTTTCTTTTACGCACAAAGACCCATTTATAGCCCACTGGTTTGACATTGAATGGTGTCCGGATGATCGGACCAAACACATTCCTGAGTTTGAGACTCTTTAACTCCACGTTTATGGCTTCTTTCCATTTTAGCCAGTCTGTTCTATGAGTGCACTCTGTGATAGACGTGGGTTCTAGATCCTCTTGCGTGTTCGCAATATCAAGTGCTACTTTGTATGCAAAGAGTGCATTTAAGTCGACTTCTTTTCTGTTCCATTGGGTTCCAGACATGTTGTAATTAATAGAGATCTCATTGTTATCGATCTCGTCAGAACCTAGAGATTCGGCGTCCCGAACCTCTTCTGGTGGTTCATCAGAGTGAGTCTCAGCGCGCGCTATGTCTGTTATATTGGGAATCCCGGTTTCAACTATTGCACCTTTCTTTGATTTCCGTGGATTCTTGTCTTTGGAATCTAGAGGTCTGCCACGTTTATTTCGTGATGCAGGCTCTATAGCAACTTGAACTTGTCCCGTTGGAACAGTGATTCGTACTGGTGCATTACAAGCTGGTATGTACGATTTGGTTACTTTGTTCAGGTCAGCAAAGGAATCTGGCAATTGATTAGCTAGCTTTTGATAGTGTATAATCTTTTGGATCTCTGAATCACATTCTAGAGTCCGAGGATCTTGCCAATTTAAGGATGTTTGATTCCATGATAGCTCTTTGACCAGCTTGTGTTTCTCTCCACCCAATGTTGGATATACCGATTCATCAAATTGGCAATCCGCATATCTGGCCTTAAATAGGTCTCCAGTGGTCGGCTCGAGATATTTGATGATGGTGGGAGAATCAAAACCAACATATATTTCCATCCTCCTTTGAGGTCCCATTTTGGTTCTATGTGGTGGAGCAATGGGTACATAGACTGAGCACCCAAATGTTTTGAGATGGGAGATGTCTGGCTCATGACCCTGTAATAATTGGGATGGGGAATATCTATGCTCACTAGATGGTCGGATGCGTATTAGTTCAGCAGCATGTAATACTGCATGTCCCCAAGCTGAGACCGGGAGTTTCGACCTCATGAGTAATGGTCGAGCAATCCATTGGATTCGTTTAATGAATGATTCAGCAAGTCCATTCTGAGTATGGACATGTGCCACAGGATGTTCAACGTCACCCCCATGGCCATACAGTAATCATTAAACGCTTGGGAAGTGAATTCACCAGCATTATCAAGACGTATAGTCTTTAGTGGGAAGTCTGGAAAGTGGGCTCGTAATCTGATGATTTGAGCCAACAACCTAGCAAAAGCTTGGTTCCGAGAAGACAACATGCATACATACGACCAACGGGTCGAAGCATCTATTAGTACCATGAAGTACCGGAATGTCCCAGAAGGTGGGTGAATGAGAAGGTGGGTGAATGGGACCACAGATATCTCCTTGGATTCTTTCCAGAAAATGCAATGTCTCTTTGGACACTTTTACTGGTGAAGGCCAGGTGATCAACTTCCCTTGGGAGCAAGCTGTGCACATGAGGTGCTTAGGGAAGACTCGGTTTTCTCGAAGGGTGTGTCCTTGAGAACTTTGGATTAATTTACGCATCATGGTTGTACCGGGATGACCAAGCCAGTCGTGCCAAATAGTGTAGTCTTGGAACCGGGCTTTGAGAGCATTATTAGCCTCAATCATACTGACCTTGGCATAGTAAAGGCCAGTAGATAAAGCGGGTATAGTCTCGAGGACTTGTTTATGGCCAAGTGTGATCTTAGTGATCAGTAGGGATTCTTTATTCCCTTCACCCTTGGTTTCTATGTGGAAACCATTAAGTCTGATATCTTTAAAACTTAAAAGGTTTCTTTTTGAGTTGGGTGAGTATAATGCATCTGGAATGTCCAGATGTGTGCCGTTTGATAACAACACATGGGCCTGAGATCTGGAATCAATCGAGGAGATCTGAGATCTCGTAGTGGTGTCGTCAGCATCAATTTGCTGGGCCATGTTAGCTTCAGCAGGTGCTTTCCCATGTTTTTGATACAAATCGCAATGAAACTTGGGAGTACGACAGTTCTTTGTCCAGTGATTGAACATTCCGCATCTAGTGCAGGCAGACTGATTGGTTGGGTGGGCAGGACAGTTTGGTTTAGAGATACCACGGCCCTTACCGGAACCATAACCGAGGTTATGTCGGTTGCCACGTCCATTTCCGCGTCCACGCTTTCCACGTCCACGATCTGAGGATCTGTCTCACTGGACATTGTAGGATTCCTTGCGGGAATCTGGTACTGGAGCCGATCCCGGGGGCCTCTGGGCACTGTTCCTCATAAATAGCTCGTTGTTTTTTTTCGGCCAAGAGCAAACAAGATAACAATGTTTTGGGTATGGAAGGTGGATAATGTTTTCTCGAGGAGATCATTATCAGACACCTCTTCACCACATAGTTTCATGATTGAAACTATCCGAAAGAGTTTGGAGTTGTAGTCATCCACAGATTTGTAATCTTGGAACCGGAGTTTCTTCCAGTCAAACTTGGCTTGTGGCAAGAGCACCGTTTTCTGGTGATCATGCCATTTTTTCAGGGCCACCCAAAGTTCGAGTCGGTTCTCAAGAGTGAGATATTGCTGTTTGAGGCTCGCAGCCAAATGATGGCGGATATAAAATATCGCCTGGGACCGGTCTTTATCAGATGCGGTGTTATCCGCTTTGATACACTCACCTAGTCTCTTTGAGTTGAGGAAAATCCTGGTGTCCAGGGCCCATTCGAGATAATTTTCACCGGAGACCTTGAGGGCCTCGAACACGACTTTCTGAATGTTTGACATCTAAAAACATGAAATTGATTTCATTAGGGGTTTGTTTAGGCAAGTTTCTATTTGAGGAAACTTTATATTTGAGGAAAGTTTCTAATTTGGGAAACTTTCTAAATGAGGAAAGTTTCTATTTGAGGAAACCTTCTAAATGAGGAAAGTTTCTGTTTGAGGAAAACTTTCTAAATGAAGAAAGTTTTCATTCCGGGTCATTTGCTATTTGAGGAAAGTTTCTATTTTAGGAAACCTTCTAAATGAGGAAAGTTTCTATTTGAGGGAAACTTTCTAAATGAGGAAAGTTTCTATTTGAGGGAAACTTTCTAAATAAGGAAAGTTTCTATTTGAGGAAACCTTCTAAATGAGGAAAGTTTCTAATTTGGGAAACTTTCTAAATGAGGAAAGTTTTCATTCCGGGTCATTTGCTAAATGAGGAAAGTTTTCATTCCGGGTCATTTGCTATTTGAGGAAAGTTTCTATTTTAGGAAACTTTCTCGGTAATGGTTTAAAGTTGGACCAGAATATTAGATTCCGGTTTGGGCCGAATTGATTTCCGGTTTAGAATAACTAGTTTGAACCGGTTTACCCAGATTGAGATCCGGTTATTATTTTTGGAACCGGTTTGATAATCGGTTTAACCGATGAACCGAATTGATATTCGGGTTTAGGAGTTAACCGAGAATGATTTCCGGTTTAGGGGATACACGAAAATTGCGGTTTTGGATTTGATTTGATTTAGGTTTTAAGATTTCGGTCATGGCTTAGTGTTTTCGATTTTGAGTGTTAGGTTTAAGTAATACAAAGTTTTTGATCTTTAAGCTTTTAAGGTTTTGTTTTTACCTTTCACCAATTGGGGTTGAACGGATTGAACCGGGAGCTTAAGACCTCGGTAACTCACGCTGTCGATGAACAGTACCGATGAACAGTGTCGATGAACAGTATTGATGAACAGTGTCGGCGTGAACAGTATCGGCGAACAGTGTCGATGAACAGTATCGATGAACAGTGTCGGCGTGAACAGTATCAGCGAACAGTGTCGATGAACATTGTCGGTGTGAACAGTGTTTTGCGATTTTTAGGGTTAGGGTTGTTAAGAGCAAACTCGTGCTGATAACGTGTTGTGAAACTTATTGTTATCTTTTTCCATTCCATAAATAATGATACATATATATAGGTATATAAACTTAGGGTTTTAGAGTACATAATGAATAACCCTGATTTGCTTATTGGACCCGGTTATAAGTCCAATATGATGTATTATAACAATATACTCCCTCCGTATTTGAATAAATGTCGTTCTAGCCTTTTTTCTGTGTTTTTAATTAGTTGTCATTTTAACAACTTTTGCATAAAATTTCCTAAATTACCCCCAATTAATTGATCATAATTAATCAGTCTAAATTACCAAAACTACAGATACCAAAAATATAATTGTAAATAATCGTTTCTCATAAGGTTAGTTTTGTAATTCTGTGCCCTTTCTTAATTCACCCAAAAACAGTTGAAACGACATTTTTTCAAATACAGAGGGAGTATATATTTTTAACTGTCTTGTCCATGGAGATTTTTAAGGTCGATGGTCATCGTAGCGATGTGGGCTTGCTTCCTACATTACAGTTGACATGTGGATCCCAGGTGGACCCTTCTTTTACCCAATAGCTACGTGACCTGGTCCCACCGCCCTCTCTACCTCACTATTTAGAAATTGCGATAAACAATCTCACCGGACAAAAAGACCAGATAATTGTGATAAAAAAATAAAGAGACAATTGATATAAATTTTATTAAATGAAGTTTTGCATCATTTTATTTATAACGGATACTTGGTAAGAATTAAGTAAGAACCGATCCACAGTTAGCTCACAAGTGGTAATTTTCCAAGCAAGTACATCCATTATGAGTTCAATTTCGGGAATAAAACAGACATTTCAAAATTTCAAATTATTAAAATAACCTCTTAGAGGCTCGTATGTTGTTTATTCGTAAGTGGTGGCTCATGCGAACTTTAACGACACCATGAAAACATCAAATATTCGGGAAAAAATAATACTCTACTTATGGGGATGTGTCTTTAATCAAGTGGTTAAGTCCACATGACTCCGCCTTCTCCACCGGAGTTCGACTCCACTAAGTCGCGTTACCCCGCGTAGTAGGAATTGACTATGGATCGGGCCTTGTCGATCCAAAGATGTTAAAAAAAATAATACTCTACTTATAAATGGAAAACGTAACAAAGACAATTAAAAATGAGAGCAAAGACCACATGCATTTCCTCATGCATGTATTATTGTTTATTTTTTTGGCCAGTTGATGTAAGAAATATACACTGATACACATATATGTATATAGACACACTTTGGTTAGTTATAAACTCGTTCTATTTTCTTCTTCTTTTTCTATCTTTAGCAATGAACATATCAGTAAACGGACAGTCACAAGTGCCTCCTGGCTTTAGGTTTCACCCAACCGAGGAAGAGCTCTTGAACTATTACCTTCGCAAGAAAATCTCTAGTATCAAGATCGATCTCGATGTTATTCCTGACGTTGATCTCAACAAGCTCGAGCCTTGGGATATTCAAGGTTCAGCATTTATCTTTTATTCTTGATATATTATATTAGTTCTTCTATTCACGTTGGCTCGTTGAGTCATAAACTAAATAAAGCTCCAAAACTCAGAAATATTTGCAGAGTAATATATACAAACTTATTTATTCGACTTGATTCACGGGATTCGGGAAAGTTAATACAAGAATTAGTTGATTGATTAATAAAAGTATACTATTTGGAACGACGCCGCAAAACTCAACGTAATAATAAGTTTGTATATATTACTCTGCAAATAATACTTTTAATAATCAATCAACTAAATCTTGTATTAACTTTTAATAATCAATCAACTAAATCTTGGATATAGTATTTAGTTGACTGATTGATTAATACAATTCATCAGTCAAAACTCAACGTAACTCTGGTTTTTTTCTATGTAGAGATGTGTAAGATTGGAACGACGCCGCAAAACGATTGGTACTTCTTTAGCCATAAGGACAAGAAGTATCCCACGGGGACTAGAACTAACCGAGCCACCACGGTGGGATTTTGGAAAGCTACGGGACGTGACAAGATCATATATACCAATGGTGATAGGATCGGGATGCGAAAAACGCTAGTCTTCTACAAAGGTCGAGCCCCTCATGGTCAGAAATCCGATTGGATCATGCACGAATATAGACTCGACGAGAGTGTATTAATCTCCTCGAGTGGCAATGATGGCGTCACCGTAGAAACGTGTGATGTCATAGGAGGTGACGAAGGATGGGTGGTGTGTCGTGTTTTCAAGAAGAAGAGCCTTTGCAAAAACATGATTAGCAGCCCGGTGAAAACGTCGTCGTTCAACGTAGAGACTATCGAGCGAATTCTTGAAGATATGGGGCAATCTTGTAAAGAAGTGATAATTTCAGACCCTTTCTTAAAACTCCCTAACAACACCACAATCACGAATTATCAGCGGTTAACGGACGACCGAGTCAACAACTGCCACGTCAGCAAAGTTATGGATCCCAGCTTCGTCACAAGCTGGGCCGCTTTGGATCGGCTCGTTGCCTCGCAACTAAATGGGCCCAACTCGTATTCAATCCCAGCCGTCAATGAGACCTCACAATCACCGTTCCATGGACTAAACCGGTCCGGTTATAATACCGGTTTAACGCCTGATTATTATATACCGGAGATGGATTTATGGAACGATACAGATTTCGGGAGAACGACAACGTCATCGTCCAACCCATTGTGCCACGTGTCGAACGGTATTGGATAACGGAAATGGAAGAGAGGAAGTGACATACCAAAACATTGTGTAGTAGTTGAAATTTGAAACATTTACGATAAAAATGGTCAGATTGTGATAATTACAGTAGTTATGTGAAATCATTACAGAAAATAAAAGTTCTCTATGACTGTTGCACATTTTATATCATGATTTACTTTATACAAAAAGAATTGGGTCAAGAATTTCTATTTTTGAAACTTAATTATCATTCGCCCAAAAAAAAAGCAATTACATTTGCCACTGTAATAAATCATAGTCTGTCATATGGTTTGCCGGATGTTTTATAATTACAATTGACCAAATGTTACCAATATGAGAATTAATTCATCGACAAATTAACTTTGAACAAATAATTTCCATCACGTTCTTTTCTGTTCAAACTTTCTCATTTTATATTCTATTTACACTGAATTTCTATTTTCTAAGGAAATCATCGGCTAGGTAATTAAGATATTCAGTTGGTAAATGTTTAGTTTGATGTTAAATATATATATTTTTTTTGGTCCGCAAATAGTTTGCTTCTTTCATCATTAGAAATAGATTAATTACCCAATTAATCAACCCAACAAACTTGGATTAAGATGCATCAAGTGCCTAATCATAGCTAATTAACCTACCCATCAAAGCTAATCACACTCATTATTTTCAATTATAGCATTTGATCAAACATTATTCTTTTTGTTGAATAATCTCTTTTTTTTTTTTGTCGTCTAGATTTATTATTAATTGCAAATTATGAGAACTGTTACGTTGACGATTCTACAACTGACAATTCCTTCCGACCCTTATTAGATCCACGACAGACTACACTTCCTTCTTCGTAATCTTGATGAATACCTTCAATGATCCATGACCTGGCGACACTTTCTTCTCTGCGTAGAATCCTGGCGAACGGCTATAATTGTACATCGCTGGAAATCTCTTGCACACTTGCCTCCATTAATCTGCAAATTTGTTAATAAATCGCAATACATCGGACTCGAACCCCAAACCTCTTGGTGTAGAAGCATTAATCAACCCTTAGTCAACCAATGGGCCAAGGGGGCTTCCACTGAATAATCTCTTTTAAGGTGCAGAATCTTACTTTTGAAGAAAAAATGAAAAATTCTAAATTTCCAATATTCACATCTTATTTTCCGTCAGGTGATAATATAGCTTTAGCATTATGGAATTACAACATATCTAACGCAACAATTACATGAAACTTTAATTTCGAGGCATCAATTTTTCACTGTTGAAAAAAAAAAATCCCTTTTTTTTGTAGTTAAACCTTAATAAAAAAGAAAAGAATTGGAAATACATTTAAAAAATGTGTGGCCTACTGGGCTGTACCTGTAAGTGCTGCTTGGTTTATCGTCCAAGTATATTGGGCCAGGCCTATTTTGTTAATAGGCCGATATCAGTGAGTGTAGGTCCACTCAATGCCTTATTTAACACAATATATTTTGATCAAAACTTTTGATTATTTATACTAATTCCTAGATCTCGCATCATCACTTCCTCTTCTGTCACGTAAACTGTTAGGTGAAGCAAACAATGGAAATTCGACTTCACAACAAAAAACTGTAACAAGCATTCTTTAACAAATTAATAAAGGTTTTCCAGGATTATCTTTCAGTATCTACTTAAGACTTAAAAAGGTAAAAAACAAAAAATTCAAACAGGAATAAGAGGAGGCGTATTAATTAATTTTATTAAAAAGGTATGGTAATTATTGTAACACGCATTATTTAACAAATTAATAAAGGCTTTCCACTAATAGCGACACACTCGACCGACAATTGAATCCAGGCCACATATTACATGTCATGATCGTTCAGCTTGAGTGGATTCGTATTCGTACTCTTTTGCTTACGGGACTTTGGGGGAATCTCCAGAGTTCAAACAACTTATGAATATGAGATGATACACATAATTAAGAATCAAAATGAGTTTTTTAAAGGGGAGGTATGGAGTCATGGAGAACCTAAATTTTAATTCTTGTTGTAAAAAGAAAACTACAATGCTGGCAAAACATTTTGCCGTCTAGAAATGATACATAAACATAGATATTGTTTATTTGTGAAAGAAAATAATAGCACCTTCTTAGACTTTCTTTAATTTTCATGGTTAGTATTAAAATTTCAAAAGAATAGTTTTTTTTTTTTTTTTTTTTTTTGTCAAACTCAAAAGAATAGTATAATCTTTGGAATTGACGCATTGAGTAAAGACACCGATTAGAAGAGAGGTACCCACTTTCGCCGACTTTGTTCTTCCGTTCCATTATTCACTTTTTGGGAAATACAGAAACTTATTTTCTCTTATTATCCCAATATTCGTTTTAAGTCTTTCTTTATATCAAAAGTCAAAACTAGTGGTAGTAGCTAATTTAGGTCATTATTTATAAAAAGAGATTTCTTTTCTAAACTCTCTACGGACAAATCTTTTTTTATCTGTAACTATCTAATCTCTATGGACAAATAGATTTATTTTTCGGGTCAATAAAATTTAATGCGATGTACAACAAATCGGCCGTTACAACAGAAAAAGGAATCATTATTAAATTACTTTTATGCCAAATTGGAACATTGTTAATTTGAAATCAACCGAGACTCTCCTCTTCTTTTTTCTCCTAACAGATAAATTAAGGGAATTAATTTTCATTTATGACTATCCCTTATACACTTTTCAAATTTATACGTCTCTTAACAAAATATCAAACGCAAATTGCCAAAATTTGTTCGTCATCTCTCGCTACCATCAATCGGATAAACATATATCACTAGAAAATTTATAAATCGTACAATTAACATTCATAATTTAACATTTATTTATATTTATGGTTATTTCCAAACACCACTAGAGCTTCTACTCCTAATCTTGTGGGTTAGGCCGTGTTTGGCTCCACAACTCCACAAGATCAAACCCATTCGAAAAGGAAAAAAAAAAAAACTAAAGATGACAGACAAATTTTTATACCCTTTTGCTTGCTTGCATCATCATCATCATCAAGCTCTAAAACATCCAACAAGATGATTATGGGTATGATTATGACGATGATCATGATGATTATTATGATAATTAACCGATCTCTCTCTGTTGATCATGTCTTGAACGTATCGAAAAACCTCCACGTGGCAAGGGATTGTGATGGTACCTTTCTGCTCGAATCCATACTCTTCCTCAGCTTCTCTTAAGAGTTGCATGAACAATGGATGGTTAACATAAAAAACAGGAACAACAAATCTCTGTTTCTCCTCTTCTTTTGATCCCACTTTGATTGCTAAACACCCTTTTGGAACATCTTTGATTCCTTGTTTGCTATTGCTTTTCACGTTATTAGAACGATTTGAATGGACGCTCTTGAAGATTTTTTCTCCGGAACCCATAACTTAGAAAACGATGAAGAAAAAAGCAGAGTAAGAGGAAAAAAGAAAGATCTAAAAAATTTCTGATAAATTTTAGCTTAGGAAACAGGGGAGAAAGGCCAAGGGTCTACTAGTGGAGGTGGAGAGAATTTAAGAGACCTTATTTTTTTCTCATTATGAAGATAACAAAATTTGGATTTAATGAGCGATGCTGAGTGAAATAAATGGGTCAATACTCAAAAAAAGGAGAATTCTTTTGTAAAGGGAAATCGTAATATAAACATACCTTCTTTATTACATATTTGATTACAAAATCTTTACAGAGAATTTCAATAAGCATTTTGGTAGATCAATTTCTTAGTTGAGCAAGATAAAATATTCAATTAATACAAAATTTGTTGGAAAAGATATTGTACTGATAATAAATATGAAAAATTAGATTTTTAAGTATTTATATGGGCACAAAGTTTAAGAGGACATTTATAGATATTGTTTAAAACTAAATTAAATGAGAATCTCATTTTCGCAATAAAAACAAATGTTTCTAACTTCGGATTGCAGTATGGTCATTTTTGCAATTCGGATATACATCTAATAACATCCACTTGGTACTTTTATATTTTAAATTGATTGTGAGGAAATGAAAGAAAAAAAGAAGAAGCAATATTTTACTAATATAAGTGTGTTTGTTTTTTTAGGGACACCATTTGCATTTGTTTTTAGTTAACAAAATCAGACACTTGGAAATATTCCATCAAATGCACAAAAATAATAAATAAATCTGACACGTGGAATAATCATTATTATAACTTGTACATTTGCGCTGTAGTCATAAGGAAAATAGAAAAAGTATCGTCTGGTGATGAATTTTTTTTTTTTTTTTTTTAAGAAAAAAAAACTTAAATTCTATTAATAAAAACGAGATTACAAGGCCCAACAGCCCAAAAGGTCAACAAGACCAAAACAGAAGAGACAGACCTACTTCTGCAGCAACCGCACCTTCAAACAACAGAGAAGAAACATACAAAAGGAGCAAACACGACTATTGGAATAAACGAAACCAAGTAGAGAGAAAAGGTATTGTCGACCGGCGACACACTTGAGCACGAGTAAGAAGATCCAAATGGCATCTAATCACAGTCTTTATTTCTTGAATTAGAGCCGATGCAGGGCGAGAAGAAACACTATGGAGTCTAGCATTCCTTTCCTTCCAAATATGATAAATTGAAGCTTGGAAAGCCAGCTTGAGAATGAGAGAGACATTTGGATCCCGAGAAGGGTCTTTCATCCATCTAACTCCATCCTCAAATAAGATGGGAGGAGAAACATGGGCTCGAGAAGTGAAGAAAGACCAAACTTCGTGAGAGAAAGTGCAGTCAAAGAAGAGATGCTGAGCAGATTCATCAAAGAGGTTACAAAGGAGGCAAGAGGAGGGAACATGAAGACCCCAACGAAGCAGTCTATCCCTAGTGTTAAGGTGCTTCCTGGAAACTATCCAAGCAATAAACGCATGTCGAGGAATCCTACCTTTAAACCAGATAGCCTTATGCCATTCAATAGAGGGACCAAAAGGGTTAAGGTAGTGTCAAGTATCAGCAGTGGAGAACTTTGAAGAGGGATTATTTTCCCCAATCTTCCAAAGAAAAGAATCATCCTCATTCCCCGAGAAAGCAGAACCTGAAGGAGGGAGGCACTGTTTCAATATCTGAATAATTGGATTTCTACTACGCGAAGTAGAGATCCACTAGTCGCCATCCCTAAAAGCATCAGCCACAACCGCATTTAAAGGTAAACCTACGGTTCTCGGGCCTGACTCTCCCGTAATATCATTTAGAGGGCCAAGTGAAGTCCAATTATCCTTCCAGAAACTACAAGAAACACCTGAACCAATCTCACAAACAATAAAAGGTTTTGCAATGCCACGAAGCTTGCAAAGACTTTTCCAAATCCAACTTCCAGAGGTGGTAGGGTCTAAATCCCAAAAATTGACTGCACCAATAAGGTGCCTCCTGACCCAAGAGACCCACAGTGACCCTCCAGCGACAAAGAGAAGCCAAATGAGCTTCAAACCAAGTACTTTATTCCAGAGAAACAATCTCCTCAAACCAAGACCACCAGCTTCTTTGGGCGTGCAAGCAGAGTCCCAACTCACTTTAGCACCTCTAGCTGAGCTTGGATCACTCTTCCACAGAAACCCGCTGCACATTCTCTCCACTTCCTCCAGATATTTATTAGGGAGAACAAAAATTGAAGCCCAAAACGTGATGGTAGAATAAATAACAGATCTGATCAATTGCAATCTGCCCGCAAACGACAAATATTTCACAGACCAAGAACTGAACTTTTTTGCTAACTTGTCCAAAAGAGGTTGAAAATCCTGATTGCGCATCTTTTTAGAGGAAAGTGGAACACCTAGGTAGCAGACAGGGAAGGAGCCTTGCTGTAAACAAATTCTATCAGCAACCACTTGAGACTGAGCATAGTCCCCACCATTTAAGAAGAGAGCAGTCTTGTCCTTATTTATTCCCAGACCCGAGGCCAGCTTAAAACCATCAAGAATGTCTAAAATTTCTGCCAAAGAGTTCTCAGAGCCATCAAAAAATATTAGCACATCATCAGCAAAGCTGAGGTGAGTCACAAGTGGGGCATCACACATGGGATGAGGAATAAAAGATTGAAGCAGAGCCCCTTGATCTAATTTCTTCGATAAAACATCCATTGCTAACACAAACAGCAGGGAGGAGATCGGGTCACCTTGTCTTAGGCCTTTCTTGCCAGGAAAGAACCCAATAAGCTCACCATTAAAGGCAATACTAAAAGACGTCGTTGTGACACAAACTTTGATCCACCTAATGAATTTTTCTGGAAGCTCAATAGCAGTGAGGATGTTGAACAAAAAATCCCAATTGAGGCTATCATAAGCCTTGGTCAAATCAATTTGAAGGCAACCTTTAGACACCTCACCAGCAATGTGAAAATTAGAGACTAGCTCTGAAGCCAAAAGAACATTTTTGCATAACAGCCTACCCTCCACAAAGCCAACCTGGTTCGGCTGAACCGCATCTGCAATGAACTTTTTCAGTCTTCGTTTAATCAATCTGGCGATTACTTATATGAGGGTAGTACAGCATGAGACAGGTCTAAAATTCTTAAGCTAATCAGCACCCTGAGTCTTAGGAATAGGAGCGATTGCAGTAGCGTTTACACCCCCTTGGGAGATAATCAGCTACAAAGAAATCTTTGACAGCCTGAATAATATCCTCTCCAACGACACTCCAAGCTTCAAGATAGAATTCCACAGGGAAACCATCTGGACCAGGAGCCTTATTTTTTGGCATTTTGAACAGAGCCTCTGTGATCTCCTCATCACTAGGAATAGCAACGAGCATAGGAATAATATTACTTGGGCATCTGAATGGAAGCAAACCCTTGATCTCCTCCACAGACATAGGAACCACATCTGAATTCTCTGACCCAAGCAGATGTTTGAAATACGAGACTGTCATATCTCTAATATTATATATGTGTGAGAGATTCATAATTTTTAGTTTTTTACATTACAACATAAAGCAGACAACGATTTCACTTAGCCGATATATCCAAATTCTAATTTAATACTTCATCCGTTTCATTTTACTTGTCGTTTTAGAGTTAAAATTTTGTTTCATAATAGTTGTCGTTTTAGGTTCGATGCAAATGTTTGGTGAAAATTCCAGTTTTATCCCTACTGTTTTAATGTTTCGGCTAATGAATTTTTTTATAAAATATATTAATAATGGATAAAACAGAAAATTTAATGTTTTTCTTAATTTGTGTGAGAAAACCTTAAACGACAAATAAAACGAAACAGAGGGAGTAAAATTTAAGTGATTCTAAAGAACTTGCCTCAACTCGTTGGTACATCGAGTTGACCAAAAAAAGAAGAGACAAGTAAAACCAGTTCAATGTGGAAGACTTACAAAAACAAAATGTGTTTACTGCTCCATACCTTGAGGCTGGTGTGGCACCAACAGTTCATGAGTTCGTTTAATAAGCTTATTTTAATTTTTTGTCTGGGCCGGGGGATATAATGTTCATACACTACATGAATACGAAATAATACGTCGTGAAACAAAGATTAGTTACCAAAACTGCCAAAACAACATTTAATATGCACCAGACGACAGACGTAATCGTATAAATTACATAGAAAAACTAGAGAATCAATTATTCATGGAAAATATATAAGGGAAAAGCTAAAAATTAATTTGCATGAAACGTAAAAGGTATAATAATACGATGACTTTTATTTTTTACACGGATCGATCGAGTTTTGAAATCTTTTGAGAATCGGGATTACTCAATCATTACTCATTAGACACAAAATATTTGCTATTTAAATGTCAACGTTTATTTACGTATAAAATATAACAAATACATCAGAACTGTATATAATTGTATGTCAAATATATATAAATCCAAAGTTGGGTACGAATGTACGATGCAATGAACAAGAAGAAAAAACTTCAGGACATTCCCACGCATGGATATCATCGACTTATTCAGACACATCGACGAATTATTAATCATTCAATCAAAAATTAGATTTTCTTATTTTGTTAAGGTTTAGAAAACCTGCCCCCAAAGAAAGAGTTAACCATTCATATATGATTACATATCGATTTCATTTGTGCACTAAATTAATAGATTTAAATTTCGTTTAGTAAACAGATTTTTGAGCTTTCAAGCGCTGCCTAAATACTTCCAAGAAGTTAAGTGATAGAGTTGGCCTAAAAAAAACTGACAACTGAAATTTTGTGGACGGAATATATTTAAGCAAATACAAATGGTTTGGTTCATCTTTGTGTGCTACTTTAAATTAACTTTATGCCCTAACAGTGATTATTAAAATTAAATATTCAATCGAATACCATAAGGAAAGAAAAATTATAAATATTTATGTTTCGGAAGAAAGTATAAACGAAAAGGAGTTGACAAAAGTACAATGAAAAAATAGAATGCTTTTAGAGGTACATCAAAATGGTTATGGGGCAAATTCGCCCAAAGCGATACAATATCAATAAATTACAAAATTTTGGAGGTCGATACAAAAAAAAAAAAAAAACACACACACACACATTCACTGAAGCATCTTTTCTGGATTTGTGCATGCGAATTACAAAAACACAAAATATATGTTCGAGACAACAAATTACCAAAAAAAAAACTCAACCCAATGGGTGAAATTAATTAAGCCCAATCAATGGGCCAAACTGGGCCTTCTCCTTCACAATAAATGTCCAAATCTAAAAGTCCAGTTACCAATGTTTCAAAATCTTGTTGATCACATTAATTACTCTACAATGAAAACTAAAAATCATGGGATAGCGAGAAGAAAGTTTTCTCATCAGAACCAAAAAAAATCAGAACAAATTTCCCGTACATAGATGCAATTATTAGTTTTTTTTTGGTAGGATAGATGCAATTATTAGTTCGTATATTGACGATGTATTTCTTACAAAATTATTTTTTAAAAGTTGCATAATAATGCGTCACGTTGTAAAGAAAAAAATAAATGTAATTACATAATGGAATAAAGATTTAAATTTGACATCAAATCCTAGAGGTAGCTATTAAGACAGACACTGAAACCGTAGTTAGAAAAAACGAGGTCAAAGTCTTCGTTCATAGTAACTTGTTAAAAGCAAACAAAGTCAAAAAGGACAAAATGTAAAAGTCATGGTAATTTGTGTAATCAGTCACTCACTAGTGTAAAAGATAACTTTTGGACATCAAAAGCAGGTTTTCTTCTTTTTATTTTTAACTTTAAATTCTTTCACAATTTCTTTTAGATTGGTGTTAATTTTCAGCATTCATCCTATAATTATTATCTTTTTCTCTGCTCTGATCCAGCGAATGTCTAAAAGAAAACATTCCTTCGTTTCCACACTTCATATCCGTTCACTTTGTAAATTTTCACTTTTTCACAGAGGTTATAAAAACCAAAGAGTTTCACTATCTCTTTCACACTACATTTAACCAAACGTGCAACAAATTAAGCAGTAAATTGTCATCTCTTAACATAAACATTGATTATTGTGTTTGATGAATGATGATCAGGTTCTTACCTCCAATGAGGTTGATTTCGATTGTTTATTCAACAATGTATATCATGCAAGTAATAACAAAGTTTTAACTACTAGTACGATTCAGTACGATGTCTTTATTTTTGATTTACTTGAGAAATACTAGCACCACCAAAAACTATCTAAGGTTGAGTTTCTGATACTGAATTATGTAATAAAGATCAGCTATAAATTGACAATTGTATGAGATAGAAAGAGATTATTACATTTACAATATTTCAAAATGAGACAAAATCCGATAGAGTTTCTTGATCCTCTATGCTTGAAGTAACTGATGAAGACAAAATGTCAGTGTGAATAGAACAATAACATTAACCAGAGGAAAAAGAAAACAATGCGAGAATCTACAAATTTTAATTATTTTATTGTTGAAGTAAATATGGTTTATGGAATGATGAAACCCTAAGGCTAGTAGTTGTACTAACAACATAAATACAGCAGTAATTTGAAAGATTCAGATCTAGCTTCAGATCTAGTAGATCTGGTTTGATTTTTTAGAAACAGACGGATCCGAAAGTAAATAACCCTCATTAATCATGACCATGAATAGATTTAGTCTCTCTGAATGCTAACTTGTCCTGACATCATAAAAAACAAATCATTACAAAATTATAGCTAGAGAAAGAAAAAAAAAACGAGAAAAAGTTAGTAATGATGATAGACTTTTTAGTTTCTCACATGAGTCAGAATCCTTCATCATTACACCAATCTGTTACAAAAAAATCAAACCCACCTGAAACTCAGAAGATCTTGAAGACCTATAAAAATAATCGAGTCAGAGAAAAAGTTAAAGATCGAACTTTTTCACATTGATATATATATAATGGATTCAGAGATAGAAACCCTAGATCAAAAGATGAAAAAGGACGAAACTTCTTCGTTAATTCGGATTGAGAGGGAGTAATAATTGGGGGGAATGAAGCCTGGTCCGAGATGCTAAAACCCTAATCAATCATCAGATCTGAGACTATTGAAATGAGATTGTATTAGAATAAGAGACCTCGAGCCAGACAACAGTCCCCTCAAAAGAAAAATCCCTCTTTAAATTCTCTTCTTCTTCTTCAAGAAAGAAACCTTTTTCAATTAGGGTTTTTCAAGAAATTTCTTACATATATTTTCTATCCCCCATCAGATCCGGCTGAGATCAAGGAAGAAAGAGAGGGAGAGAAAGAGAGAAGAATGTGGTGGTGATGATGAAGAGAACGATGAGAAGGATAAGAAAAAGAAGAGGTTTTTAAGAAGAGAAAAAAACTCAAGAGAGTAAGTAAGTGGAGAGAGAGCCAAAGCTATACAAGACAAAATAAACATGGGTTCTGGGTGGCTGGGTCCCAGACCTATTTACTTGTGTATATATTTTTGTATTTATGTTTTGGTCAAACAGTGTAAATATATTTCAAGTTTCAAGATTTCAACGTAAACATTTGGATTTACTTTTTGAGACATGTCAATGGATTTCTCATTTTACCATGCTATTTTACTTGTTAAAGTAAAATCAAGAACGTAGTCCGTACCCTCTATTTTCCTTGAATTTTGTTTGTTTCACGCCCATCATAATTTATAAGAATTCATTTACTGATTTATTTACTTTGGCTTTGCGACGATTTGACCAAATCAAAGCGGAAAAACAAGGAAGATGATAATCAGTGACCGTGAAAAGGAAACAAAAAAGGGGTGAATGTAAAAGAGACGATCAAATCACACAAAAGATAAAAATGGAATAGTAATTTTATTAGTATTTAGTATAGTAAGTTACTAATAGAGATGAAAGAAATGGAAAAGGGAATCAAAAGGCGAAAAGAGGGTTGTCTATAAAAGTTAGTCAGAGGAGTGGTTGAGTTATGTGATCTGCCCAATACAACCATTCTTCATTTATTGTCTCTCATCTTTTTTTTTGCCCATTGTCTTTCTCCTTTCTAGTAATGAAATTAATAATCGCCATCGTTTCATTTTAATTCTCCTGTTCCATTCAAATTTCTTTTATAAGATAGAAAACGTCATTTTTAATAGCCTTTTAGTATTTTTTCTACCATATTTATCTTTTTTACTCACATATATACTACGTACTAAGTATTACATGCGCTAATGACGGAGTTACATTTCAATATACTTGTAAATCAGTATGGATAAATAAATTAACTAGTAGAAAAAAATTAACTAGTGTCAGCACAATCTACTTCAAATTCCAGCTATACTGTAATTATTCTAAAAACGGGGAACACAAAAAAAGGTACTTTTCGAAGAATTCCTTTCCGCGAGAACAAAAAGTCTTTCCTTTTGTCAACCAATATCGGCTTGTATTTGTGCATAAGAAAAAAGAATAATACGATCATTCAGCCAGCTGTAATATTTTTATATAGAAGATTCGAAATTAATTTAACTTAATTCATTTGAAAACATCTCATTTGACTCGAACCCCAGATCAGTGCCGGTCGGAGCATTTTTGAGGCCCTACACAAAAAAATAAAATGAGGTCCAATATATTTATAAGTTTTAGGGCTAAATTTTTTTTTGACCTATTTTTAGTAAATTATACAAAAATAATGATATTTTGAATATTATTACATTCAAATTTAATTGTTTGGGCCCTATTTTATTTATTTTTTTGAAAAAGACTTTAGTTTTTACCAAATATTTTCATTTTATGGACCTTTTTACCAAAAAAAAAAAAAACCTTATAAAAAAAAAAAATTGTGGTGCCCCAAGCCACCGCTTGGGTGGTCTGTCCTGCTGGCCGGCTCTGCCCCAGATCTCTAGGTGTATAAGCATTAATTAATCCTTAGTCAATCAATGGGTCAAGGAGGTTCCACCTATACCATATTATTTATTTAATTTGTTTTTTACGGAAAAGGTCTTAACGTATTTATTGTTTTGTTCATCACCAAAAATATATACAGAAGAAAGTATTTTTATAATTTCAAAACAAAGATTGTAACTTTAGCTAGAGAGTGCCCGCGACATGTGCTGCAACGTTTTGTTAGTTTCCTAGTGTCCAAGAAACCTAATGAAATCTCCTCGTATATATAAACTGGGAGATATACGTTTATACATTTTTATTTACTTTAACAAAAAAATAAAATTGAGTGCATCACTATACAAGCTATAATGGAATTCATTTTTGGTTTTAGTTATGGTCTAGAATTCAAATATATGGTAAGAAATTTTAGTACTGTTTGAACCAAAACGTAAGATACATATAATTTATCTACAAATTCATGTATGGTATCAAAAGAAAAAAAAAACCTACTATATAGAGAAAACCAAGCATATCTAATCCTATTGCAATCAGGCTATCGATTGAACACTTCTACTCTACTCAACCGTAAAAACAGGTATGGTATCTGCATATGATTTGGTTTTCATCCGGTTCAAGTTTTCAACGTAAATTCGAGATTAACGACTCTTATAATTATACATATATGTACAAAAATGAAATGCACGCGTATGTTAGTGTAAGCGTGGAGAAATACGTAGACTGTGCATGAGAATGACAAATGGAGAAGACGATTCTTAGCTCCAATTTCAACGTTGTTGACAGTCTTCGAGAGATGTGTAATGTGTTGTGTCTTGGAAGAGTGGAACAAAGAGGAAAACGTCAATTCCCCACGTTGTCCCACTCGGCCACTCTTACATTCCTTTTCATTTTCATAAGCAAATAATTATACATCGATCTTTTAGTTTGCATGTTAATCAATTATATATTGAATATTAATTTACACACATATATATATATATATATATATAAAAGAGTTTCCGTTGTGAAAAAAGTATATCCCCTTCTATCAAGACTTGTTAAATCTTTCCAATATATGACATCAAACCTATTAGGAAATTTTTACGTTTTTAGCTAATTCTCACTTTTGAATCAAGCGTTATAAATACCCAAATTAAACATACATGGAATTCCAGACAAAAACAGAAAAAAATTTACAATTTTTTTTTGTTTGACCTTCTTGCCGACTCTGACATGATGATTTTTAAAAAAAAAATTGAATTCGGATAATGATTCTTAACTCATCAAAATAAAATAAGATTTAAAATGTAAGTATTCTGGGGAGTAAGAACAAATTTATTTTATATTGTGTACAATTGAAACACTTATAGTTGTCAAATTTAAATTTGTATTATGTTGTATTACTATTATATACTTCCTTAACGAGCTTTTTCAGTACTTTAATCTACAATTTCCCAAATAAATTAATTAAGAGTATAAATATATAGGGTAGGGGTAGCATTGTAATTAGGGAAAAGGGAAAGAGCGAGAGTACAATAGCATTTAATGCCTCTTTGTTCGTATTCTCTGCCACCTTCTTTCTCTCATTAATTCCTCTTTCTGCTCTCTCTCGTCTCAGATTCCAACTCATTAAATAACTTCTTTTTTTTTTTTTGTACCTAATTCATTTGTTCTATGTCTTTTTTGCGGTCAGTCACCATGAAATTTTTCATAAGAAACATTCAAAGGTCTTTTGATAAGAGCATGATTATAGGGGAGTCCTTAACTGAATCTTAGAGAAATCTTAGGTTTGAGTTTGATTTAATTTAAATCAGAAAATGTGAGAACAACTAAGGAACGTTCCTTAGTTAAGGAATATTTGCTACAGTTAAGAGATGCCACGTGACGCGCGATAATTGGGTTGAAAATTTAATACAAAGACCGGAAAAAAACGGAACCCGTTATTTTTTTTTCCTTTCTCTCTCTCTCTCTGAAATCGCGATATGCGAAAATGAAGAAAGCGGTGGCGAATTGCGAATTCCGACTGGAATCGGAGGATTCTCCGACGCGAATGACCGCCGGCCGTCGTTCTTCCAGTAGACCATCTTCTCCACCGTCTCCGGCTGTCCACGGCGTCTTCAATTCACCAAAGCAGCGAGGTTGAGTTGCGGAATCGGAGAGAAGTTCACCGAATCTCCCAGTTTCGAGTCGAAATCGGATCCTTACCTTCTATTATCGGCTTTTCAAGGTATGCATGTGTATCTCATTGTGTGATTCGATGGCATTTACAAATTTTAAATTAGGGTTCTTCGGTTTTGAGAAATTAGGGTTTCGTGATTTGGGGATTAGGGGTTATTCGTTGTTAGGTGTTTAATTTGGCTAATTATAAGCGGATTTGAGTGTGTGTCTGTATTGTTTTAGTAATTTCTGATTACGGTTCTTCGGATTTCTGAAATAAGAGTTTCTGGATTTGGGGAAAAGGTGTTATTCGTTATTAAGTGTTTAATTTGGGTAATTAGAAGCATGATTGAGTGTGTGTTGTTGTTGTTTAAGTAATTTCTGAGTAGTGTTCGTCGGATTTGTTAAATTAGGGTTTCTAGATTTGGAGAAATTGTGTTATTCGTTGTTTAGTCTATGATTTGGCTTATTAGAAGTAGGATTAATCAATATTTTGTATTGTAAGGCATGATTGAAACAAACTATGCTTGGTTAATACTCTGTTGGATCGTAATACTCTCTTTTTGATGTGTGGATGATTGTTTGGATTAAGACTTTGTTGGATCTTTATTTTAATACTGATGTTGATTAGTTTAGTTGCAATTTCCATGATTGTTAGGTGTATTTGAGATTTGTATTTTCAATTATTAATCTGATTTGTTTTTTATCCTTGAATTTGATTTATTTTTTTGGTTTATTGTGAGGAACCTCCTTAATTGGACATAAAGAGGAGAGAATCTAAGATGAGTGGAGACCTGATGGTGTGAGACTTGAGTGTTAGCTGCTGCATATGGGACAGTTTAATTACCAGACGTAAGGGTAAGTCAATTCTGTCTTTAACTCCATTAGACCTGCTTAGGTGAGACTTGAGTGTTTTAGGTTGTGTCAGTTTTTGTGATAAATGCATTTTAAAAGACTCTTAAATTGTTTGCATTTTGTCTGTTTTGATGTTGAATTAGAATGTCTACATCAGTTCTAGGAATTGATTGCTTTGGAGAGTGTTTATAGTTGTATGTGATCAATGTTTGTTTGGTTGGTTTTCATTAGGTTAAGAATTAAGTGTGCCATTGAATGCTAACCACTTATGTGAATAAACACTAACACATAAATAAACCTAACCTCTTTCATTCTCTTTCATTCTGAGAATTATCTTTAATTCTCAGATATCCCACTCTCTTTCATTCTCTTTCATTCGGAGAATTATCTTTAATTCTCAGAATTCTCAATCTCTTTCATTCTCTTTTATTCTGCGAATTATCTGTCATCCTCTTTCATTCCCTTTGTAAACTCCTTGAAACTCTCTAAATGAATCCATATTCTAACTCTGCTGACTTCATGGAGCTGTTAACAAGTCAACAAGAACCCAATGCTTATGAGTCAGCATCACCAAGTATTAGACTTGGTGAATCTGAACTCCCTGCCTACAGCACCCAATGGACAGAAGCTACAAGTGAAGGTGGAAGCGCCAAAGCTAAATCCACACCAAGAAAGAGGAACAAGTGGACAAGTCAAGAAGATTTATTCTTGATATCTGCGTGGCTGAATACAAGTAAAGATGCCATTGTTGGCAATGAGCAAAGAGGAATAGCCTTTTGGAAGAGGATTGCAGCATACTATGCTGCAAGTCCCAATATATCTGGTCAGAAAAAGAGAGAGCCACTTCGATGAAGTGCATGGAACATTTTGTTGACGAAATTATTTATTGCTTTGGAGATGAGTACTTACGACAACCCACTGCAGAAGATCTTCAACGGCTACTCGTTATTGGAGAGATTCGAGGATTTCCCAGGATGATGGGAAGTATTGATTGTATGCATTGGGAGTGGAAGAATTGCCCTACCTCTTGGAAAGGACAATATACACGTGCCTCTGGAAAACCAACGATCGTTTTAGAGGCTGTAGCTTCCCAAGATCTTTGGATATGGCATGCGTTTTTTGGACCGCCAGGTACTTTAAACGATATCAATATTCTAGATCGCTCTCCGGTTTTTGATGACATCTTAAAAGGGCGAGCACCAGCAGTGAATTATACAGTCAACAGGAACGAGTATAATTTGGGTTACTATCTCACGGATGGCATTTATCCTAAATGGGCTACCTTTATCCAATCTATTTCACTTCCACAAACTGATAAAGCATCTTTATTTGCAACCCATCAAGAAGCTTGCCGTAAAGATGTCGAGCGTGCTTTTGGAGTTTTGCAAGCTCGATTTGCCATTGTCAAAAATCCGGCTCTTCTTTGGGATAAGGTAAAAATAAGAAATATTATGCGAGCATGTATAATACTTCACAATATGATAGTAGAAGACGAACGAGATGAGTATACTCTATTTGATACTACCGAATTCGAACAAGCGGAATTTGCGGGAAGTTCACGGGTGGATTTCACATATTCTACAGA